GGGGGGGGGGGGTACGGTGTACTACGAACATTCATTGATATACATGTACGAATATACGATATTCAAAAATGTACAATAATTTCAGCAGGAAACACGTGGCCCACGCTATACGATATATCATAAGGTACTATTCATACATATTTATCATACAATCCATCGTACCGAGAGGTCTAAGAATACGAGGTACGATCAAGAACAAGAATAGTACTTTACAAAGAACAAAGATGTCACGAGCCCGGAGTAGAAGAACCCTCGTGTAGAATCAGTACCAGATCTACATGAGGATCTAATCAGAACTTCGGAATTCTTGTGAATGTGCTTTATAATCTTAATCATAATTTCGATTTTTATACACACCAAACATACTAAGAGAACAAGTATCTTGTGCACAGTAATTACTACCTGTTTTCGTGTATCAAAATTAATCAACCATTAAGAAAAACAACCAAATACATGAATCGACCATGGTGAAATCGAACGCCAACTCCTCTCCCAAACAACATCGAAACACACATCGATCCTGTCTCAGCCTAATTAACAGCTTTGATTTAAGCCAACTGAAGACAGTCTCCATCACTGTAAACCTTCGGGGCCCAGTAAGAAAGCTAACAAGGAACTGCTTAACCTTCTCCGGGGAGCATGGAGTGCAAGAACTATTCCATGTACAGGAAGACTTTGAAGATGCAATAGTGGATTTGGAACTACCAGAGGATCAGATAGATCAGAAGTGGCAGATGGTCCTTGCACACAGACCCAGGCAGAAGTGGAACAGCATGTGGAACAACAACAGATTAGCAGAAGTACCAAGGACCAACTTGGCACATTGTTGGAAGACAGCCCTGCTCACCTTTAGGAAGTTCTATGCACCGTCTAAGAGAGCTAGGGACAAGGCCATTGAATACTTACAATCAGACACAATCAGAAAGTCCCATACCAGCTCCTGTCAGGCCCACGCTGACAGAGTTGAGACCTGTTGCGCCAGAGCCAACATCCTTCATGGCATCAGGGAACCACTATCAGATAGAGAAATCAAACAGATTCTTTTTAGATCCTTTCCCAAGTCTTGGCAGAATGATTACATTGGATGGGGAAGAGATATCCTAAACAACACCATTCAGCAGATCGTGCAGTATATGACAGACCAGAAGGGAATAGCAGATGAGGAGCAACTATACAACCAGTCTAAGAAATGACCCAATGTGGTACATACTTGTTTGAGTTTGAATTAAGACTATTGATTTCTAACAGGTTATGAGTACATAAAATGCACCAGTTTTTAGCTATCTTTGGTTCCTTCTTAACTCTAGCAAAAGCACCAATCAGAATTAGAGAATCCGTTAGCCGGAAAGGGTTTTCTCTTGTCCTTTGATACATGTGCATATTGTATATGTTTCTTGCCAGAGAACCTTTTCCGGCTGGTTGATTTCTCTGCGCACCAAAAAAAACTCATCAACACAACCTCCAGCATACTAAAAAAGAATCTTAATGTTTTATTTAACCTCATGAACTAGAAGAGGCACTGTATGGCCAGAACCATAGCTTTCGTTAGAAAGAATGCTTCTACTAGCTGCTCCAAGGGGCAGCGCCTCCCTCCGAGGAGGTTTTGTGGAGACGCGACCAAGTTTTATGCACACTGATAGGCCACTGAAGGCCCAAGGCTAGACTCAGAGGGCATGTTTAAGAAAAATATTGCTTCATAGTAGTTTGCATGGCATGGTTCAACCTCCAGCATACTAGCAAGCTGTCACCTCTTAGTTCTTCATCAATATCAAACCAATTGCGCTCACAAGACAACTGTGCTAATCCTTACATTAAGGGCTCAAGGTTCTGGAAGTTGTGGATCGATCGACTGAGTGGTTTTGGAGGAACAGCACTGTAACTACCAGTAGTAGCAAAATCGAGGAAAAATCATATCAGCAAGCCTGCTCTGTATCAGCAGCTAGCCTCTGTATCAGCGGCTGCGGCTCMGTATCAGCGAGCCTCCATATCAGCATCCATATCAGCGTCCATATCAGCATTGTGTCCGTATCAGCATCCATATCAGCGTCCGTATCAGCATCGCGTCCATATCAGCATCCTCCGTAATAGTAGCAGCAGTGTCCTCCGTATCTCCTTAGTTTCAGCATCCTCCTTACGGTATAAAATAGTCCCTTTTTGGTTCTACGTGGAACTTAGTGACAGCTTGCCCGTTGTGGTCTGAATTAAGACTATTGTTCCACACATAGAGTCCTGTAGAATCCCTACCGTTAAAAAGCTGTCACGTCTTAATTCGAACCCAAAAAGGTACCGTTACGTCATGCTTTTGTCCTTAAATCCATCACTTGCACTTCGATAGTTTATTCTTCCTTGGTGAGCTGCTATGCAAATTAGAGACTCCCCGAGGTGGTTTTGAAATGCCAACAAGGGCCTGCATGCTTCTTCCGAGTGCATACGAGCACGGAATGCGTGGACGTCAAATGAAATGTACGATGTACTGTGCTACGTACAGATACGAAGTACCGTACGGTACAGAACTTCGTAAAGTACGTACTATTTTGCCGGTTTCCCGTAAGGTCATTATTAATCCATGATTTTGGCGACGGCTTCGGGAGTTACCCCATGGCACCCGTGCTACTATGGTAGTCCCATACGGGACACTAGACTCACCGTCCCTAGTTGCTTCTTCGTGACTAGTCCGGCCGGCTCGTTCAAAAGACTCAAGGACGCGCAAAATTTCCAAACAAGACAAAAAATGATTGTTTAAACGCGTAAAGTAATTAGGCACATTATTGGAATACCGTTCGCGCCTTCGAATCGTGCGAGTTACCTTAAGTAAGAGTGTAAGTACGAACAGAAAATTGTATGGCTTCGAGGGACAAACGACTTAATTGCGGTTTGTTCTGTTTCGGACGGAGGAACGATTCAAACTGGCGCCGATCTGTGTACCGACCCAACCCCGAGCAGTGCGGTTCTCACTTCTCGTGTCACATTCCGCAGCACTTTGCCGCAACGCAATCAACCAGAAGATCGAAACGGTACACACCAAGACTTACAAACAAGGATCAGGGTTCATATTACAACACGAACCATAAGACGCTTCAAGGTAACAGCACCTAACAACAATAGCGATATCTTGCAGGTGACACAGGATCATCGGTGAACAAGGAGAAACGTACAATACAAGCATTGAATCATTCATTCCATACTTTCCGTACAGGTTACAATTCAAGAACAAAACTTAAAACATGAAGTCCTATTCCTTCCCCTTAACAATATTCGTGCTGAGCTCATTGGCATTGAGCGCATCTGCGGCGGCATCAGAAGCCTCGCAACCTAGGAAATTGGCTCTCGACGGGATCGATGTACTTGAAAGTAGTAGCGAGCAAGGACTTCTCGGCAAATGGGTTGTTTCCATGAATGAGGGCGCCAGTAATAATCTGAAACCCTCGGATGGCTCCCTGAGACTTGGCAACGATCTCAAAGTAGAAGAATCTGAGGATCTGAGTTCTGCCATCGAAGACGTTTCAGCCCTCCAGAAAAAAATGAGCGGAACAAACTTGCGAGGAGCCAACGATACCTGGAGACGCAACAGAGGAAAAGGTAAAGGCAGTAAGAAGGGCTGCAAGAAGCAGAAATCTGAAAAAAGCAAAAGTGGTGGCAAGGGCAAGGGCGGAGGCAAGGATGGAAAGAACTTCGGTTTCAACAGACGATTGCCCACGAACAGACCCACCTCGAGACCTACGAACAGACCGACTCCCAGCCCTGTGGGGAATGCCGACGAGATTTGCCCTGAAGGCTACGAACCCAGCGGTGCCGAGAGTACCAAAACGAAACGCCCCACTCCATCGAGCAGCCCCACCGAGATGGAACCCACGGACTCGCCAGCCCCTACTGAATCGCCAGCTCCTACAACTTTTTCGGACAGAACTCAGGCGCCTTTTGTCCCGGCTGGAAACGAACCACTGTGCGAAGTCTTTCCTGCCTCCAGAACTTCTGAATCAATTGCTTTCTGGAGCGAATCCAATGCCCAAGGTCGAACGTCCAATGGATCCGCTGCCCTAGCGCAAGTTGTTGCATCACCTGTACAACGCAGCGACACGGACGAATCCAAGATTTCGGTGTCGATTTCGGTCGACATGACGGCCGGAGCAAACGACGCCGATGCTGACATGAATGGAGACTCGACATTTGACACTGTCGACGTGGGATTGCACTTTGACGCGATCGTCACCGAGCCTATTGCGTTGTACGTAGTGGGATGCCCAGAGAAATCTCTCAAGACGGCCGAAGCTTATTACTGGAGCCACAAGAACGGCGATGCAAGAGTCCTTGAATCGAACGAATCGCAATTTGTATCCCTCATGAACTGGAACTGTGGTAAGTAAACGAACATCTTCTTTAAATTGGGCTTACATCGTGGGATCAGGCCTTTTGTTGGATTTTTCTTTTTCTTACGGCTTGCTTTTGTTCGTTACTTCCTGTATTGCTTTTGGAACAGACTACGCTGTCAACGAGAACTCGTCTTGCGACAACGGCAACGTTTGTGAAGTAAAATGCACAACGGTCCTCAACTACCTCGGTGATCTCGAACGGTTTGATGTCGATGAGAGAATTGCTTGGTCCATGAAAGAATACTTTTCCTTGATGGACGACGTGACAGCGTGGTACCCCATGCAGCAGATTGGCACGGTCACTATTGAAGAGAAAGACACTGACGATAGTGGCGTTAACGCCATTGAAGATTCGAATTTGTCTCAAGCGAAGCAGATGAAGGCTGGACCGTTCATTGGTGCCGCAACCGGATTGTTGGCGCTCATTTTGCTCTTGGTGTTGTTTGTTCGTAGACGGAACCGCAATGACATCGAGCAGATTTCTCACCTCAAGCTGGACGAAAGCGCCGACGACAACACGTTCTATAATGGATCGGACGGAAACAGTGAGGGAGGCATAGCGAAGCACGAGTACAACACACGTGACATTCACATTGTAGGAGAGGGAGACTCGGTCATTTCTCATTGGACGGGATACACTGGAAACGTCCGCAGTCCCACCCAGCCAAACAACTACGATGCTGAATACAACAAGAGTTCCCTGGTCAAGGGTATCTCCACGGATGTCCACCAGTGTTCATCCGCTACGTGCGAGATTTGCGCTCTACAACGGCAGGCCGGTCTGAACTTTGTTCCAACGGGGGTCACCGATATGAATGAGTGCCTCCCGGCTCGGGTCCCATCGCTGCCGAGCGATGCCTCGAGGGAATACGCGGCGGAGGACACGGTGGAGCTATAAGTGAAATGGCAAACAATTCATACAGTCAATCACCTAATTGCTTCCGTGAACTCTTCCATGGACTAGTACGCAATGGAATGCCCCATGTCCGGTACGACGCAACGGGACGCCGTATCCACTTTATTCTCTCTGCATATTTCTCTGTTCCTTGTCTCGATGCTGTACAATACAACCCCTCTACTCCAACCATCGACATGTTTACCCTCGTTTTTTCCACAAGTCTCTCAAGAAATAGAATACTATTCAAGCTGTATCACTAAAAAATTACGAAATTAATTCTTTAGATTTTGCTCAGTCCTTTGAAAATTGGCCGTCGATATCAGTACAACGAAAGGGGAGTAGGAGCGCCCAAATCGAACTGGAGCAGCTGCGTTCTGTTTCTGTTCTTGGTTGTATGAATCACCGAATATTATGTTTTATCTTTCAAAATCGTTCAATCTCACCGTTAAAGCTTGGGCGACAAGCCGAAGTCTCGAGTATATTTAAGAGTTATCCCCTTGTCATCGAGCATTTTGTCGACGTCTTGGTAGGACGGTCGTTCCTTGGAACTTCCACATTCGATGAAATCTGTACCGTCGTCGTTTTCCGCAAACACGTACCACTCGGTGTCGAATCGTTTTATCAACCGAACGTTGCCGCCCTTACAGACATAGCCTTCCATAATATAAATATTTTCGAATCCCAAATCCTCAAGCCGCTTCAACGAATTGCCTTTGCCGCCAAGAAAGGACGCCAACTGTCCGAACATGCCATCCTTTTTCGACGCCGCGTCGAGGGCATCATCGACGATTCTCCACTGAGGGTTGATCAGGGCTACCATGCGCTCCCCCGCCTGGCTGGAAATGCGCTCGATTCCATCGATCGTTTCCTGGCTGGGCTGCACGAAACACGAGACGTCGTCAGAGGGAGCGGCACCCTGCGTGATCCACAACCCAACACCGTCGACACCACTCTCGTCGAAGGATCGGTCCTCCTGCAATCTCGGTACGACTCCTCCCTGGGCGTTTCTGGAATATCGTCTGCAATTGATATTACATGATCGTATTGCGAAGAAAGTAGGAATTTCCGTAGACAACRAAGAAAGCAACCAGAATTGGGATAAGTACACGGTACACTGTCCAATATTCGAAATGCACACACAACTTGGGTTCGAATCTAGAAATGACTGCAATTATGGCAGCCCACCGCTTGAATTCCCCCCTCCAAAAAAAGGTGAAATCGACACTAAACTTCATGTATACGCACCGCAAAATTTCTTGGCATGCAAGGGATGCTGCGCGATAGAGTTGCATGATTCCGCCCTGCCAAGTCTCGTCCGGTGGAACCAGGACGGTGTCGACGTAAAAGGACGGATCGGGGTCCGTGACACTTTTTTCATAGTATTGTMCAAGTTGATCGTTGTCCGAACTTCTTGGCAACAAAATTCTCAGCGTTTGACGATTCTTGCCTTCCTTCATCGCATCTTCCATAGCCGAGGACACCTGCTTGACCATCTCCTCAAAACTGAGGGGGACGTAGATTGTCGAAGGGCGTTTTGCTACCAAAGACTCTTTTTTTTCGCTTCCAACCTCAGACATCTGCTCGTCGACGGTTGCTGTTTGTTGCGACGGAGATTCGGCGTTCAGTCGAATCATTGGTGACTTCGTCGTAGTCCGGCCAAGGGAAAAAGACTCGACCTCATAGCTGTTGGCTGCAAGGAGCAACGGAAGGAAAACCGCAAGTTTCATCGTTATTCCCAGTGGTTAGTGTGGCTTAGGCTTTTGACTGATGGAATCTGTTGCTACAATAACTATCAAAAGAAACAATGAGAACTAAGAACTTGCAATTCGAATATCCATTTCAAGGTTTCCGTTCTTTTGTTGTGCCTACGGGTAGAGATATCTCTTCAGACTTTTAGTTCCGCCTATTCGATGTCGGTGAGGATTTTCCTAGTCGAGTGTCGCATTACAGTAATTAAAGTCAACGACTAGCGTTACAGCACGATACATGCCACTTTTATCGTGACTCATTGCAAGTTGATGACGTCAAGCACATTTTTCAGTCATGAAAAGAGTAAAAAGCTAAGTCAGTACTATAATAGAAATAATTTTTATCGACTCCTATGACTCAAATCAACTCGATTCCTATGACCAAAAGAATGAGATTTTAATTTCAAACTCCTTCAAAAGTCTACCGGTACCGTAGATAAAAATATTGTGCGGTGTTGAAAGCGTTCTTGTTATGACGTTGGTAGCCGCCACAACGTGAACAACCGCGCACTCGACTCGAGTATGCTAGGGAAAATCACGGCCAAAATCTACGTGGTCTTCCAAGTGTCATCCCAAAGGACAAAACATCAGTGCTTCTCTATCTCGCAAACGCCATGCTCGCCCGATTAACGACGACGCTGTCCGCACCAAGATTCTCCTTGTCTTTGTCTCGATCGTTTAGCAGTCTTGTTCTCACATCTCCTCACAACCCATACCAATCCTCTAACAGAAAGAAAAACAAGATGAAGTTCCAAACCTCTGTTCTTTCCGTCCTTGCTTTCTCCGGATACGCATCGGCTTTCAGCCCTGCCCCTAGAGGAGCCCTCTCCACCGCTCTTGCTGCCTACGGCCTTGAAACCAAAGGAGAAGCTGGTACCGAATCTTTCCGACTGGGATTCACCGAGTCCGATAAGGCCATCTCCCCATGGCACGACATCCCTCTTAAGGGAGAAACCGAGGGAACCTACAACATGGTTGTTGAGATCCCCAAGATGACCAAGGCCAAAATGGAGGTTGCCACCAAGGAAGAATCCAACCCCATCGCCCAGGACATCAAGAAGGGAGTCCTTCGTGATTACCACGGACCTATCTTCTGGAACTACGGTACGTGTTTTTCCTTTGATTGCGACCAATGTAACGAAATCGAGAAAACAAACATGCGGTGAAAATCCTGCAGTTTTTTTGGTCGCAAACTCATGAAAATCTTTCTGTTGTTTGTGCGACCAATGCTTCGATCGATTTTACATTTTTTTTACGAAACAGGATGCCTTCCCCAGACATGGGAAGATCCCAACGTCGAACACCCCGAACTCAAGTGCTTCGGTGATGACGATCCTATCGATGTTGTCGAAATCGGAGGATCTGCCCTCGCAATGGGAACCGTGAAGGAAGTCAAGCCCCTTGGTGTCTTGGCCATGATCGATGATGGTGAATTGGACTGGAAGGTTGTTGCCGTTGCTATTGATGATCCTCTTGCCGAAGAATACAATGACATCGATGATGTTCCTGCTGCCGTCAAGGACGGAATCCGCGAATGGTTCCGATGGTACAAGACCCCTGATGACAAGCCTCTCAACTCCTTCGGATTCGACGAAAAGTTCTTGGATGTTGCTTACACAAAGGAAGTTATCGAAGAGACCAATGCCGCATGGAAGAAGTTGAAGGAAGACGGAAGTGAGAAGTTGTGGTTGAACTAAGTGCTAGAGTAGACCACAAATAAATATTTTAATGACCTACTCGGTTCATTTCACACAACAGCCATGTGTAACTCTTGAAACAGCCTTTTTAACATTCGAGTAAAAGGATTGATGTTGGAAAAATGCAATTGCGACTTTCGTTTGCAAATAACTTCCATTTTCATATACGACAGGAGAAAAATAAGTAGCCCTTTGAAGAGGAGAAGTGTTTGTGTCTGCTGCTGTTTAGAAGTTGGATAGGTTGCCTCTAGTGATCGTTTTGTATTAGATCATGTTACAATGGTATCATAGTCCATGTTACTCTTCTATTCCGGAGTACTGTAATCTCTTGTCGTGTTGGTAACTTAGTTTCTATCAATTGAATGGCTGTGTGAAGACACTTTGAGCATCGGGTATGGAAGGAACAGTTTGCCAACATATCATACGAATGATGAATGACATTTGCAACCGCTACTAAGGAAGCTTTCCTACGATGATTCTCTCCATATATTTTGACATCATATTTGTTATTCCATACTTTCTCTCAAGCTCTCATGTTACAGTAGGCTACCTACAGCTTCAAAACTGTGATCCATCCTTTGAAAGTATTCATGATTTCTTCAGATCGTCGATGAGTGGTACGTGAAGTTACTCAAGGAAGCCTTACTAGAGTCTAAAAGTATAAATGTTATGGAAATGGGCACGAAGGACCAAGAAAGACACATGATTTGTTGGAACAATAATATTTAATAATTTATTATTCCATCCGACAAGAAAAACACCGTAAAGAAAATTTCAGAAAAAAGTTCTGAACAAAGTCCACCATATCTTTCGGACAACAAATTTATCGGTCATTGATGGTAACATCAACTTCGACACCCGGCTCGATAGGGATGCTGGTAACCTGCTTGACAACATCGGAAGGAGCGTGGAGGTCGATCAAGCGCTTGTGGATGCGCATTTCGAAGCGGTCCCACGTGTTGGTACCTTCTCCAGAAGGAGCCTTACGGGTGGTGATTCTCAACTTCTTGGTAGGCATACGGACAGGCCCACTAACGAGAAGCTTCTTGTCGAGGGAGGCCTTCTTCAAGTCGGCGCAAACCTTCTCGAGGTTGGTGACATTGCGGCTCGTAAGAGTGATGCGAATGCGGTGGACAACAGCGTCGTCGGGGGCGGCTCCGGCTTCCTTCTTGAATGTAGACATGGTGATTTGTTTTTCAAAAGTTGAATTAGCTTCAGACTGGGGCAAAGTGAGAAGCGCTTAGTGTGGCTTATCTACTATCATTTGGTTGTGAGGATTCCGCATCGGGAGATCTTTCGTTTTAGGCAGGAAACAGGGTGGTTTTAGTGGAGGATGGCAGAGCGTTTTGTGCTTGCTTTACAGCTAGGTTACCGCGTTTTCGAGTTACTTAAATTATATTGAAACGGGACTCAAATTATTTTCAATTTTCAAGAATGAGACTAGTACTTGTGTAATGTACTAGCATAGTTTTTCTTAATGTAAGATTTTTGATTTTTTCCATGAAAATGAAAATGATTTTTGATTTTTGAATTTTTAGGAGACAGAAAAGCTGAATTTTTTCGAATTCCGAACTCGGCTTGTTTTCGTACGGTAGAAGTAATACCGGTGGGAACTACTGTAACTGGGACTTCATGTCACGACTGGTCGAAGGATAGAAAGCTTTGGTATCGGATGAGGAAGTGAATGGACGAAAAGAACATCAACAACACACTGCATAAAATATTGGGAACTATTGTAGTCTGGTTTACGACTCAGTGCGAAGTCACTCATGTTGAATGATTGTGTACTTGGGTGGGATACTGCCACTTTGCCGATAGTTATAGTTCAGCCAATCGTATTGTCACTATCTTTTATTTTTTGTTATCGGTATTTATTCGTCGACAATCATAGACGTGGAGAAATGAATGGCGCGAACACGACGGAACGAACGCAGTCTGCAGCGGTCTCTTCCTGTAAGAATCCCGATTGCATACGTTGCAGGCGGTATCGATATGTTCAGGAGCGAGCAAGAAGCAAGCTTTCATGGATACTGCGGGATTTGAGGACAAGGGATGAATCTTCCTTCTCGAAACTAAATCGACGCATTCCAAATGCAATCATACCACCAGAGACGATGTCATCGATTGACAACAGTAGGAGTGGTGGTGGCAACAACAACCAGGCTTTGTGCTTTCAAAATCCGACGGTGTTAATGGTTCAAGATTTACCTTCCAAGGAAATAGTAACGGACTGGCATCAGAATGTTGTCGTTTATTTGAAGAAGCGACAAGCCCGTGCTATAGTCTTCGAAGCGCTAGATAAGATTGAAAATAATAGCAGGATCAAGAGGGATGGCGAAGATGATTCCAATTGGACTGTGAACGATACATCTCCACAGGGTCATTGGAAAGTTTTTCACATCCTGAACCAGGGGGTCTGGAACCCAATGCTGCTTTCCGAAAACGAGAACGGAAAGGAAACCTACCTGGACCTTCTGGATCTTATTCATAACATTCCTGGTCTGTTAAACAACTGTTTATTTGGTAATGTTTTTGTCTCCAAGATTTATCCAGGAACCGATATTGAACCACATTGCGGACCTACGAATATTCGCCATCGGCTGCAATTTCTTCTGAAGTTGCCAGGTAAATCTTCCCCAGTAACGCATTCATCAGTTGTTGAACCAAAAAATAACGATGTACTTGATGGCGAGACAGAACCGGCACTCTCCCTTTCAGTGGGACGAATAGAGAAAATCACCTGGAATGCAGATAATGATGCGTTTGTCTTCGATGATTCGTTCATCCATTCAGTCACATACAGAAATGATGACAGTGCCAAGGAAAAATTAGAAACCGAAAATTTTAGTCATGAAGACGACTTCGCACGTGTGGTCCTGATTGTAGACTTATGGCATCCCAACTTGCAGGAATCAGAAAAGATGATTTTACAACATTCTTATCCCCCTTTCACCATCGACACATGCAAACAATAAGATGAAAAACTTTATTTTAGTATCTTAGATTTGCTCACTCCATAGGTTCTCCCTTGACATTAATTTTCCCGATAAAGTACCCTGTTCAAAATCCAATGGCAATGATTAGTATTTTAAGCAATAAAATTCTGCACAGATTTCAAGTCGACCTTGTTGATTTTCGCAGCGAAACGAAGACTGCACAGAGTTTCATGAAAGTGGGATTGCAAAGGATTGCAGCAAATGATACAAAGAGTCTTCGAGTTTCCGCCTAAACTGTTTTGTAGTAAACTTGTCAGTTTGGAATCGCGGAAGGGAACATTTTTTTCTCCAGCTTGTAATTTTTCAATAACATTTGAAAGGGTGCTCAGTGACAAGTTAATACACTTTGTCTCTTTGAGCAAAGCCCCACMAGAGTTATGAGCTCCACTTTTTGACAATCTTTCTGACCCAGCCAAATCGCAAACATTCAATTTCCCAACTTGAACTGAACCATCCTTGGAAGTAACGGTATATTCGATCGTAAATAACAGGTGACTTCGAGAACTTGTAGCATTGGAAGAAGTAGCCTTGACCGTTCTGCGCTTTTGGGCTACAGCTAAAATTTTGAATACGCTGGCTTCGTCAGACACAGACTGATGTATGCTCCCTACAGCCCTATTGCCTGAAACTTTTAATGGTTCGGTGGCTTTTGGGGACAACAAATCTATCACCTGCTCGTTGTAGATTTCCAGCATTTCAATAGTGACTGAAACTGACTTCTCTCCCTGAGAAAGCTCTTCAATTTTTGATTTTGCCTCGAACAATTTGCGAATCGATCGAGAAATGATCCCTTCCTTACCTGGCGATTGAGAATCGCCAAGCATTGTAAATGTCTTACCAGATCCCTGTTGGTTCGTTAAACTAAAGCAGTGAGTTTCAAAATAGGCATCAGAGGCAAATGCTAAAGCACCAAACGGTCAAGCTACTTACCGTCTGGCCATACGCAAAAAGGGTGACATTGAAACCATCTATTGCGCATTGCACCAAAGGTTCTGTTGCCTCCCATAAGTCTTCTTGGCAATGAGACGGGTTAAAAACATTATCAAAGCCAAACGACCACTTCTTGCGTCGCTGTGAAAGACCACCTCTATCCTTGTAAGGCTCAGTAACCTCTAGTACATTTTTCGTAGGATCGTCACAGCCATATTTGGAATTCTTGTCTCTATTAGTTGTGCCTAAACCGTCGGAAAATTTGAATACATGCTTCAAGTCTTTGTCAGAGGATGATTCCAGCTCTTCTGGCAGAGCAGGTCGCACACGCACAAAGACTCGAATACTACCTATCAAAACCATGACGCGAGCGTGAAGTTCTTTACGCACACGGTCGCTTTCACGGAGTCGGTTGAAAAGGTCATCTTCTCGTTTATCAGACGTACTCAACCTATCCAATGCGTCATTTTTCTCTTCGGTCACTTCCTTCAGTTGGTTTTCAACTTCTTTCAAGCGATTTTCAAGAGTCTCTCTGTCTTTTTCAACAAGTCTGATCGCTGCACTACTTTCCTCACTATTTGCCATGAGCTCGTCCTTGAAATCTAAAAACTGCCCTTCGAGTTTTTCTTTTTCTACCTTTGTCCGTTTCAGCTCTTTCAGTGCATTTTGGAATTTTTTCATCTGATCGTCAGCACGAGAACGTTCAACTTCAAGCTCGCTTTTAGTCATTTCCAAGGATTTCTGGGCCTCTTTTAGCATCTGTTCTTTTCTCTCATTCTCGAGCCGTTCTTCTTGGTGAGCTCGATAAGAGTCTTCGTTGAGCGTTTGGAAGTGTGCCTTCTCCTCCTCGGTTTTTCTCAGAAGAAGGTCATGTTCGGACTTGAGGTCCTTCATCGCTTCTTCGTACTCTTGTAGTGTAGCCGATGTTTGCTCGACTCGTTTTTTGTACTTTTTTAGCTCTTGTACCGATTTCTTGAGCTCTTTCTCCGTTCGAGGCAGAACCTTGTTGGTGAGTACATGATTCTTCGCCTTATATTCGTTAAGAGTTGTTTTCAAAGATTCATTCATCGACTCAACTTTCTCAAGGTCAACTATGGCCGCATCAAGCTTCTCCCTTTCAGAATGTAGATCTATCTCAACTTTCTTCAGTTTTAAGTCCATCGTTTTGTTCTCCTTCTCCAATTTCGAATTCTTCTTTGATAGTCCGTCAATTTGACGCATCTTTTCTCCTAGCTCCTCGAGGGTTTTTGGGTCGGAGAATTGATGTGTAGTCATGGGCTGAGAAGGGAACTCTGAAAGGCGACGATCAAGAATTTCAAATTTTTCACCCAAACCTTTGATTGCATTCATCATCTCTTGAGAATGTTCTCCGTGATTTGTGGATTTTGTCAAGCAAGACAATTCTTCTGAGTATCTCGCCAACCTTTCGTCATCGATGGAGAATGATGATACACCGTTGCCTTCAACATCGTTTGATACTACTCTTTCGTCTTCACCATTGTTGACACCAACCTTAGATTTCTGCTTCACAGTCTTCATCGAACTGTGTGTATGTTCATCGTTATCCTCGTTACTGTCAGCTGGTATATCCGTCAGGCTCTCGAAATCTTTTGAGAAGACAAGCAACTGTCCATTTTTTCGATTTTCATCAATGCGGCTGTCGCTATTTGAAGAAAGAATGATTTGATGAGACATTCTTCAAATTAAAAACAGCGAAGGTGAGTAATCAAAACCATTTTACTTACCGTTCTCGGGTCTTCCTCTCAAGTTCCAACATCTCTTTTCGGGCGTTTGCTACCTGGTTTGGAGGAGAAAATGACAACACTCCATCTCTTGTTTTTTCTTCGATCAATTTCTTTTTTCTAGCAGATCTTGTTTCTCGTGGAGAGTGTTTGTCACCACGTTCCCTGGCGACCTTCAGTGGTTCAACAATTACGGGATCAAATCAATTCTGAGTACGAACAAAAGATAAAGATTATGTTGTCTCTAGATCCATTCAATCGCGGGCTAACATAGAAACTAACCTTCCAATATGGCGTTGGAGACATCATGAGATTGGTGTTTTGGATTCCATTGTTCTCCTTGTTCACACTCGTGCGTCGTTTCTTGGGTTCTGGACTTGTTACATTGTCCTTGGTACTCTTTGAGACAGAGCTCTTAGAAGGAAACTTTGAGAGCTTTTGTTTTTGATTACGGCGCCTTAAAACACGCTGCCCTCGATCTTGTGCAATCGATTGTCGACGGTGATCCGTTGAAGTTGACGATGCAACGCTCCCATTGCTGGAGAGTCTTCTAGAAAGAGGTTTGTTCTTGTCGCAGAAATTCGAGAAAGCCTCTTTGCTGTTGCTCGATAGTCGGCGTGCCAACGGCATTGTCTCTCACTGGATATTTTATTGTCAAGATCTTGAAGGGTGAACTTTTAATTGTTCATAGATTCACACCATTTAGAGATCTCACGCGAAGTGTTGAGAGCAAGTGTTCGAGGGCAGGAAACAAGTGCAGAATGAGAGAAAAAAGAATCGAATATCAGATTTTTGGTTAGTTTGAAATACTTTTAGCCGTTTGCAAAAACACTTATGCCCCAATAAATACCGTCATGAGTATGTACGTTACCGTTACTACACTCTTCGAAATAACGGACAAATTCCTCAGATGAATGATCTTCTTAGGTACCGTACGTACGTAGTCTACATATTGAAACATCATGGGAATATATGTTAGCTACTACTAGCTACTAACTCCATTCAGTAGTATCTCTCTCTAAACAAAAGAAATTTACTGTCTGTATCTCAACACCTAAACTATTACTTCCTCTGTCCCCAAAAGACTGTACCAGATAATTTGATATAAAATTACACCTAGAATTAATGATTTTTGACCCCTCACTAGTACCTGTAACTTTGGCTGACTACTAGTTCCAAGCCACTAGTACTACTACTAGTAGAGCATCATCATTTGGCTTTCACCAATGACCTGGATCTCTAAGTAATTGCATCAACTTGGTCTGGGTGATTAGTCTGGTGGTCTAAAGTTCTTTTTTTTAGAGTTCTGGCCTATTTTCTAACCAGCAGCAGCCAATCTCCACTGGCCAAATTTGGCCGTACCAGTTGTTAAAGGATAACCAGCTCCTCCCTGCTGGCCCCTAATCATGTAACAATGACACACAGCACTCTTCTTAACACTATGACCGAGCATATCCCCAAAGGGGATCTCATTTGAGCTGTTTGTTCAGCATTTTTAATGGCCACATAAACACTGCTGTTTGCGGTCAAAAAGTGACCGAAAACTCGTAGATCTATATAGCGGCCAGTAGGAACCAGCAGTACTAAATGCTGGGCTTCAAAATTAACCAAAATTAACTGCAAGAATGCTCCTTGTAATAATTTTTGGTGTAAATCAGTTTGAGTAAAATCACTTTTTTCCAAGTAGTAGTGTCGTGCAGTAGGCTTTTTATGGTTAACACATTTTATATGGAATTAACTGGTACCCTACACTCCTTTTCTAGTGAAATAAGCTCAATAGTTGGGCAATTGGAATGTTTTTTTTATTCTATTGCTCTTGTTAAATAGTATTTAAATGAGTTATGCCTTGTAATGTCATACCAGCAGCAATGAAGGAATAAGGAGCTTTCAAACTGTGGGAGTGACTGTCCTAATAGTGATGTAAAATGTATGCTAGAAGAAAAGTGAGTCAATGCTCTTGTTATCAAGGATCGACGAACTTTGGAATCTAGAATCGATCATTGCAAGGATCGAGTGAGGTGTAGATCGAATGAGTTGAGTCACTCACGCAAGTGAATGAAATGAGTCATGTACGGTGAACAATCCAATGGGATCGAGTGAGTCATATATGTATGGTGTGTATGAATCATAGATACGTGTCATATGTATGTGTCATATATATGAGTCATACCCTTGGTCTGATATCCTACAGACAGCACAAACAGGCCTACTATTTTTTCATATCAATATGCATAATCAGTTGTTGGGTTGAGCAGTTCTACTACTACTAGTAGTGGTCATTTTGATACGCCGCTACTTGCACATGATAGCTAAGAGTAGACAATTTATGAGGCTATACTTCTCTTCATAAGAGATGGCTTTGTTATGTTGGTCATTCTTGTCCAATAGAGGTTCACAGTACCATTGTCAAGAACATTTTGTTTCCCTTGTTAAAGAACAAGCACCACTGTATCTTCTTCAGGTGCACAAATAATTTTTAATCATGTGCATGCTCATTTTAATTTAAGGCACAGATTCTACTTGTTGTACACAGTCATTCATGCTGGAATCCAACTGCCAAAACATTCAAAAATTGTGAAGTAAGTAGGGGACACTCTTTGTGTGGACAGCAAAAGCAGTCACATGGTACAGTCTTTTGGGGACAGAGGAGGAAGTAGTACATAGTAGAAGTACTAGTACAAGTAGTATTATAAAAAAGACCTCAGCGCTTATACTGTGTCTTTCATAGTAAAACTGAAAACATTCCTGCTAACACATATGGATTACACTGACAGAAAAGGCTTAAAAATATGTAGTATTACTATGGTAACAAGAGTGAAATAATAGTAGTACTACATACTAGGAAGCCTGGCATGACACTTCAAGTGTTTTCCCTCTTTTTTTCTCTTTTTAGTACGGAATATGTAATTTCTAGTATCATTTAATTGGCGCAATTCTTGCACACAAGATTCTTACTAGTGTTCACAATTTTAGCTCACAACATTCTTTACAAGATTGCTAGTAGTAAAATTATCCAAATTTCTTTCTGCATCTGAACAACAAGCAAGGAAACAATCAATAGTCTTGCTCCTAGCAGCTCATAGTAGTTTCTCCCAACAAAAAAGGAATCATGAGGAGTATAGAATGGATTGCACTGGTATAGGCCATCATGGAGGGAGATGAGGAGGGCAGCAGTCATAGAAAGCTCTCTCCTGAAGACTGACATTGAAGAGATGGATACTACATGGATCTGGTTGATTCATCAGAAGAACCACATGAGAGGAGGCTGGTGTTGCCAAAGACTATGACACTGCTGTATGGAACCTCACACTCCTCTCTCTCAAACTGCTTCATCAGAAGAATAGTAAGAAGGTAACCATCACTTCTACTACTTTGCGTAAATGGGTAACCCAACAAGCCTGCCACTATGGCCTATTCTTGTTACTGTTACTACTACTAGTACTACTACTAGGAGTCTTGTCCTTGTTCTCTGTCTTATGGAAATTCTTTGTTAAAACTTTATTCTCTTCGGGAGTATGTGCCAAGTCTTTTTGGTAGGCACACTTGCTCACGAGACATAAATTCTTAAGTCAAGCGTTCCAACAGCTTTATGCAATGGTTGACATAAATATTGGTAGTAGAGAGGGTGCTGCTTCCACTACTTAGGTAAATTGAGAAATATTTTTGCCCGTGCCGGTCCGCCTTGTGTCATTTTTACATATTTTAGTGTTATCATGATTAACCATTGGGAGCAATAGGACTTGGTTCCTACATTATTTTCGAAAAATATGAAGTAGTTCTATCCAGTCATAATGCGACCGCTGTATCACACCACGAGTTTTTGGTGTGTGCGTAGGTAAGGTACGTGGTTTTCCAGCCATATTGCTAGCAGCTTCTACATTCATAAATTTTAACATGATATTGTCATGACTCAACTCTGATCTTCTTTATTTACCCTCTAGAAGATCGACAGGGGTAAGCCCCTTCGCATCTCGGTCAGTGTGCGGGACGCCAGCTTTCATGAGAATTTTGGTGATGTCCTCGTTCCGTTTTTCAAATGCCCACCACATCGGTCCTCGCCCGTCACGGCTCCGAATAAATGCAATTGTAGGATCTTCCTCGAGCCACATTCTCAAGTCATCCACTTGGTTACTAGAAATCAAAGTCCACATCAGCGTGGTGTCTTCTGTATCCTCCCAAGTATTGTATATTTCGTCGACACCTTTCTTGGCATGAGTTTGGTCTCGGGGAGGAGCTTCGGAGTTATCCTCATTTCCCATCTCGTTGAGTTTCATTTCTCGTTCGCGCTTTCGGGCCTTTGCAGTGGCCTTTTTCGGGTTGTTTAAGTTCTCAAAATACTGCTTTCGATACTCTTCATCGGCACCATCTCGATTGAAATCTTCAACCTGAGGGAAATCTGTTTTCCGTGCAAGTATGTCCGACAGACCTGGAGGATACTGACCGGGACAAAACCAGCTACCGGGGACGTCGCATATAAGGTTGGTACTATCTTCCACCCATGTCTTTGATTCTTCGTCGACACCAAGAATCTTGTAAATTCTGACACGGCCGTATTTTGATCGGTAAACCTCTTTCCATTTGTCAGGATCTGCTACAACCCCGTCCTTTATTTCATGCCCGTGCAGTCTATAAAGAAGAGAACGTTCCATCATAGGCGAAGGTGTTCCTTGTCGGTCCTGGAATTCGAGAGACATACATGTTAGACGAAAACACTAATCGAAACAACTTTCACGGCCTTAAAAACTAAGAATCATTGACCACATGTGTAAGAAAATAATTTCGAAGAAAAACTTACCATCAACCCAAAAGCACGACACGTGGGATCACCAGCTGGACAATGATCACGATACACCGAGTTCGCAATTCTTGCCAAATGGGGACTTTTTGCCAAGTCATCACCGCCGCCTCCACCCCAAACAAGAACATAATCTGCAAGATGCCGAGCGATTTGGTAACCTTCTTCCTCGTCAGTAGTCAATGCTTTCCCCAATAGGGCGATATGCTCGTGATTCCAGGTATTACCATCTGCAATAGTGGTTCGATTGGCAATAGCAGTAATCTGATAACCATAATCCCACCACGCCATAATTCTTGAATCTTCAGGGGTGTTATCTCTCAACCACCAGTAAGCTTCACGATAGTCATCCAGTTTGATAATGGTACCATCCCGCAATCGTGCCTTGACAATGATTGTCGGATTCGAAAGGTCTTGCGATACTCTCCAGCAGTAGTGTGTAAAATTAATACTCAGAATATATCCCATTAACAATAGCGTAGCAGCCATAAATCGTTTCATCAGGACAGCCTCGCTCGTAGTTAAGGCACCATCAAATGCAGACTTCAATAGCCCGTCCAGGGCATCATCATTTTCCTCGTACTCAGTGTTTGCAGCATAACTGGGCTTCTTTGGTTTCCTAAACTTGGTTCCCTTCTTATTGACTTTATTGGCTCTGGTGTTACTATTTTCTTTAAGCACAGGCACTGATGTATCCTCGGTTTCCCACCACTGTCGAAGGCACCATGTAAATATTCTTCCAGCAGCAATGCCACCTAATATACTTCCGATTGGAGCAGTAAGAAGGATCAGTCGAACCATTCGATGCGAAAAGTAGTAAGCTGCAACACCCCAAACTAAAAGAAAACTTGATGAATCACTTAGGTTCAACGTGACCATCAGAAAGCCAATTGGTGCAAGACTGCAAACATGATGCAAGTACTGAAAGTAAGATCGAGAGCTCGCTGGTTGGTGCTCTGCAACAGAATCTACCAAGGGGTTTCCAGTTTTTGTGTGTTGAACAAAGAGTCCACGAACCCTAGAGGAAAGCGGTCCGAAGTAACCACTCGGGGCAACCAAAGATACTAAAATCATTGCAGTGATACCCGCGACAGCAAATGCCTTCACTCGCAAAAGAAAGAACTCCGCCCTCGTCATTTTCCTATCTCCTTTGATCGAGTCACAGACTCGCAAAATTTGGTATCCAAGAAATACGGCACATGGCCCTAATTGCTCCAGAGATTTTAGAGGGGCCCAACCGACGACGGGAACTTGAACTGCCAAGGCTGTACCAATCGTGTAAAACAGGGTATAACTCAGATAAACTTTGGGTGAAAATCGTCCCATGGGGACCAAAACTGCCGCATGCACTCCAATTAAATTCAAGACAAAAATGTATCCACCCCAAGAAGCGACCATGTAGAAGTAGGCCAATCCAGCGATTGCACCCATCCAAGCCGACTGCGGATTACGAAGACTGCGCACCCAAAAATAAAACGTCATAATCATGGCGGTATTTGCGATAGACTCATTGTCGTACCCCCCACCAACGCTTCTCATCAAATGGGCAGGAACGATGGCCATCATAGCAATGGCGCAACATGCACATTCCATAGCAGGAGAGAAAAAGCCAAACATAACGGATTTGGAACGACGACTAGAAGCCTCTCTGTCACTTTGATCTTGTGCCAAATCTACAACCCACTTGATAACGTTCGATGAAGAATTTTCGGGAATTGTGCATTCGTAGGTTAGCAATCCTACGAGGGCAGACGCTATTGCACCAAACCACGCAGGAATGTAACAGCAAACATCGTTCAGAGACCAATTATCCAACAAATACCGCTTGATGTATACAGCTGTGAATTGCATACCAGGATAAATAGTGGTTCCTACGGGTCTTCCTAAGGGATACCAGACCATGTAATCGAACCATTGAAAAAACTTTCTACTGCCGTGCTCATACAGGTACTGGATCGAAAAGGGAAGAAAAAATAAAATCGACGCAGTGTAAGTTTAAATCAGTCCAAAGCCTTTGGATTCTTGACAACAAGACGGCTCTCTTTCMGGGTAGGACTATTTTCAGTGATTCTTACCTCGGTTGCTCGAAAGTTGAAGTATGGATCGAACTCGTGAATAACGGGACCATATTCGTCGATTGCTGACATGCGAATAAGATAGGAGTAATAAATGATGCGATAGATGAAGTAGCTGCATATCGAAATCCAAACAAATCCTAGGATATTATCTTCTTCGGTAGGAACGTCGGGATCTTTGCTGAAAGACGAATCATCGTCAGCCCTCGGCACATTGTTGTTTGCATCATCACCGACTTCCGCGGGCGCACTTGACTTCGCCATTCTAGCTCCAGTCTTCTAACCAAATCGTAAAACCCAAGTTGAACCACGCGCCAATCGATCGATCGCAGGCTCGTGTTTTCTCTATGCAAAGTTTCGTGAGTTACTCTATATCCTTTTTACAGCAGTCAATTGATGGCAGCTGTGGTCATTACAAAGGATTTCGATGATTTTGCAAATCCTTTGGAGGTAGTTCGTGAGCTTGGAGGCACCCTTAGCTCGTACCGGTACTCGTACCAGTTCCAGCAGCTTCGCGATGTGAGAAATGAGAACGTAAATCTCTGTCGAACAGCACGTTCCTACGTAACTATCGTAGGTTACAGTACGTACGATAGAGCTACTAAAGGCAAGCCCCATGCTGGCAAGTTATTGGTTACTGGCAATTCCGCCTGTCAATTTTTTTCATTTTCCCGTATTTATTTCCCCTCTCCCCCCCCCCTCGGAACAAAAAACACAACAAAATTTCTTTTAGCGGTCCTTACTACCGGGGATACATTAGTAGTGCTTACTACTACTGAACAACCCTACTTACTAGTGGGAATGTTGTTGTAGTACTGGCTGAGCACTGCAATCTACCGAATAAGGCTGTTCTGTTGGTACTGCTTCCCCGCCCTTTGATATTTTTCTCTCCTCCAATTTAGGAGATTCCCCATTTAGTTCTGTATTTGGCACCACAAGAAGAAGAAGTACCTATTCTGTATATGGTTGGTCTTCTGTGTTCAGCAGTGCAAGTTGATTTGTCGTGTCCTCCAGTTCAAGGGCATCCAAGAAGCACCTCAAAGGAGCATGCTCAGCCATAATATAGTCAGGCATGTCATTGTCATTATTGTCTTCACAGCACTGAGAGATTCACCCATAATTTTTTGTACGATGGCGGAAGTCCAACCCCCTCCCACACACACATGCACACACACTCTTCATGAGCGAATAAGCTAGCACAAGAAGTATCAGATATGCTTTGCTTCCAATACAGCAACATGGTCGCTACGGACGATAATTAATTTTGCTAATACGATCGATGTGATAAAGTGTTATTGTGCATTCAAATGTGCTTCCCATGTGTAGCTTCCATACGGCGTGAAGCATAACTACGAAATAACAAATAATAATATAAGATTTATTTGAAAACGACATTTTCTTGTTGACGAAGACAATTCTTTTTTAAAATACTGCGGTTTCCGCATTCTGCATCTACACAAGTTTCGTTAGATTCCTTTAATCGATGAATGTGAGATATCAGCTGGTTTGATTCCATTCTCATCCCCTTGATCTTCTTTCACACCAAGTTTTCGAAGAACCAGCACCATACCCTTTCTGCCATACTCGTGTGCCCAAAACATTGGTCCTCTTCCATCTGAACTGCGAACATGCGCAACTTCAGGGAAAGAAGAAAGCAGTGACATAAATTCATCAACTTCGCCGTTCTTGATCGTTTGCCACAATAATCCGGTCTGCGGGGTATCAGACCACTCCTTGTTAATCTCTTCAATGCGATCGTCTGCAATTCGCTTAAAATTTGGTTTATCTTCAGGGGGGGGACGTCCTTTTTTCCTGCGAGAAACAAACGAAACAAAAAAAAAAACGTTGAGAGCACGTGATGAAAAAAATTGCTTTCTTTCGCTTCGTGCAACGTCCAATACTTACTTCAAATTCTCAAAGTATTGTTTTTGATACTCATCATCACCTCCTTCCCGGTTGAAGTCTTCCAATTGATCAAAGTCTCTCTTCTCTGCAAGAATTTTTTCCAGAGCAGGCGGGTACTGTCCAGGACAGTACCAGGAACCAGGCGCATCGCACACACGGTTGTTCTCCACCCATTCCTTCGATTCCTTCGATACCGACAAAATTTTGTAAATGCGGACTTTACCATACTTGCTGCGGAAAACTTCTTTCCAACGATTTGGATCAGCTTCCACTCCGTCTACAATCCGATTACTAATAAGCTTATACAACAAACTTTCACCGAGTTGCTTGCTTGGCACTCCACCCCTCTGTTATCGAATGAAGAAAGACCAAATTACAAATCAAGTGTAAATTACAGGATGTTGGAGAACATACTCTGGTCAATTTAAAGAGATATTCAAAAACTTACTTTCATACTGAAGGAGCGGCATGTCGGCTCCGAACAGAGTCCTCTATAGACAGAATTTGCGATTCGCTTCAGATGAGGACTCTTTGCCACGTCGTCACCGCCACCTCCCGCCCAGACCAACACATAATCTGCGAGATGACGAGCGATACGGTGCGCATCCTTTTCCGGTCCTGTCAAAATTCGTCCCAAGAGAGCGATATGTTCATGATTCCACGTGTTGCCATCAGCAATTGTGGTTCTATTTGCGATACCAGTGATCTGATACCCGTAGTCCCACCATGCCATGATGCGTGCATCCTCAGGAGTATTATCGCGTACCCAGAAGTAGGCTTCTCGGTAATCATCGACAGTTACAACTTCGCCTGTGTGCCGGTTCGTACCCTTGGTAATAATTGTCGGATGACTAATCTGCTTTGCAATTGCATGGCAGACATCATCGAAATTTTTGGCTACAGGCATAACATTGAGGGTTAGATAGATCCCCATTCCCACACGAACACAACGAACCCAAAGGGGATCAGATGGGTTGATCGGCTTCGTAGTCTTTGAATAGACTGCCTCTGTCTTTTTCAAAGGCTTCTTTTTTGTTTCCTTGCTGCTTTTGCCTTTGTTCTTCTTTTTCTTCTTGGTGTCGGGGACGACATCGTCGAGCCAAGAATCATCTGCTTCAGGTTCTGAAACGACAGCTTCCGGCTCAGCAATTTCTTGCGACAGAATTGACTCCAGAGTTGGACGGTGGTCTCCGAAAATTCCCCCAATACACCAGGCCCAGACATAAGCCAAACAGATTCCACCGCAAATACTGGCAATGGGTGCCGCAAGCAAGATGAGGCGTACCATTTTGAGACTGAAAAAGTACGCAGCAATACCATAAACAAACAAAAAAGAACTAGCTGGCGTGCATCCGATTAGAGTGACGATGCCAAATCCCAATGGTGCCAAATAGCAAACAACATTCAAGTACTGAAAGTATGCTTCACTCGATGCGGCTTGGTGCTCTGCGACAGAGTCAACTAACGGGTTTCCAGTCTTGGTGTGCTTCACAAATAGACCTCTCACACGCGAAGAAATTGGACCGAAGTATCCAGTACTGAATAAATAAATTACTACCGGCAGTGCTGCGATTCCAAAAGCGGCAGCAACTCCTGCTCGCACTGTCCATTTATTCATGTCAGGAAATTTCTTTTCGCAAAGTTTCATCAACATTAAGGCTTGCATACCAACAAAAACTCCGAATGGACCAAGCTGTTCCAAAGATTTGATCGGAGTCCAACCGACAACAGGAACTTGCATAGCCAAAAATGTTCCTACCGTATAAAAGCTTGTGTATGAAAAATACAAGTGATCAAACGGTAACTTGCGCAGCAGTAGATTGACCAAGGCATGGATGCCAACAAGGTTGATGACAAAAACATATCCTCCCCACGTTGCTACCATGTAAAAATACATTACACCCGAAAATGCACCAAAAGCGATCGCTCTCGTGGTATTGGCAGAGGATAAGGTACAGACCCAACACAAGAAAGTCAGTTGCATGGCAAAAGTGGCCACACTCTCATTATCGTAGCCACCACCCACACTGCGAAGCAAGTGGGCAGGTATAATGGCCATGATCATAGCAGTGAAAGTAGCAGCTTCCAAGGCAGGCGGATTTTTTTGAGAGGCTAGACCCCAATTCGAACCTGTGTATTGGATTAGTAGCTTTTCGACAATGCGTACCAGAGGTATTACGATGCCGGTTGTTAGCTGTGATACCACCGGGATATCTGTCAACAAACTCTTACTTCTCGAAGTCTTTCCGATCGATGAAACTGCAGTATAGCACAGGGCAGCTGTGGTCATCGTTGCCAAAACTCCAAACCAGACCGGGACGTAACAACAAATGTCATTGATCGACCAGTCAGGCAAGAAGAACATCTTAATCCAGACACTAGTAAATTGCATGCCAGGGTAAATGGTGGTTCCCACCGGCCGTCCCAAAGGATACCACGACATATAATCGAACCACTTGAAAAATCTGGAAGAACCATTTGACCACAAATACTATCGTTTTCCATAAAAGAATTTCAACAATATTGAACCAAACCATTCACATAAAAGCGTTTTTTGGGTCAGCTAATACGCGTTCATGCAAAATTCATTCCTACTCCAAGAGATAGAATGTATATCCGAATACTGGTGGCATGGTTCTTCGTTACACAGGCACTCACCTCTGCTGCTCGGTAGTTGAAATACGGATCAAACTCGTGAATAACAAGGCCGTATTCCTCAAGAGCGTACATACGAATATTGTATGATTCAACGAGAGTCTTGTATAACACATTCAAAAATCCTGCAACGTAAACTGCGGAAAGGACAGGTTTACTGAGAGACACATAAACGGATCCCATTCCTGCGGCAGCATCGCTGTTGCTTGCATTGGTCGATGTGGCAGTCATTGTTAGTGGAAAGAATCTAGAAAGATTCTACAACCGGTACACCCAAACGGTTTTGTTTATTTTATGGAAGTCGTGCAATACACGGAATGAAAATGAGGTCGATAAACTCAACCTTTCCGACGTATTTTTATGAAAGGCACAGACAATGCCCAGATTCCTGCTTTAAAACAGTCTTTCGAGAAGTCTTTCGAGACTGTTATCGATTCCTCGTCAGTCGAAGTATTCTTGGGTATGAACCGTTCAGTCTACTGCACCATACTACGGTAACGATCTTCGTGTACCAAAACGTTTTACGGTACGGTACCGTAAGAGCATTGGTAATGCTTGTACAATACTCGGAAGTGTAATCTCAATCGAGGACAAAGACCCTCCCAAGTACAAGCTCGTACCGTACCGTACCTGATACTTTACTGTTAGTCTGATGGATATTAGACAAAACATTTTTGCTTACGCAACAATACGGTAGGGTACGTACCGTACGTACGATTACTAGTTTGGATGATCTCTAATACAGTATACAGTACTTCTATTTCGCGAGAGGTCTGTCCATGAGTCGTTTTTTGGAGTACGAAGTATTAATAGTCAACTGGGGCTACCGGTAAGTACCTACACAGTCTATTCGTTACCCGTTTTGGATACTTCTACATAATTTTAGTGAATCTTTCCACTCGTGACCCCTAATTTAAGTCACAAGATTAAGTAACCATCCTGATCATCTTCTCCTAGGTACGGTACGGTACGGTACCGTACGTACGTACCGGTACGAAAATATATGTATTTCTGTTCTGTACCGGTGTTATTAATTCATTTCTTACAAGAAGTGCCGATGAGAGCAGGCTAGCAAAATGAAACACTTTGAATTGCCATGTTTGATAAATGTGATTTTAAGATTTCACAATATGTTATTACGATAAGTAGTAGTACTACCAATAGAAGTACTTCTAAGTGTGCATTGATGTCTTGTCATCTGACGTTCACCATCACAAGAACAGTTCTCCGGAAGCTCAGTTTCTTGACTAACTACACCATCAGTTACATTTCAGAGTCCTCTCGATAAAATGCACAATCGGAACGCTTGCGACGAATTGCATCTTCTACACTCTCCATGAGAGTAAGAGGTCCACAAGAATATACTCCAGGTCGAGTAGCGTCAACGACATCGCTAATCACATCCTCGATGTACGGGCGGCCTCCAGTCACTACCATTAATTGCGAATTGCTTCCTGTGCCCTCAGAATCCATGCTTTCATTCTGCAATTCCACGTTGCTGCTAGTGATGGCACCAGTTACCGCATCGGAAGGTGCATAATGTGCCTGCATTTTATTGTCATGGTAGCGAGCATATTTTTCCACTAAAACAGACACAGTGATGGACAAAACAAGAGAAAAAATTATGCTATGGGTTCGAATGATAAGGTTGTCATGCCGATATTTCCCATTGACAATAAACTCTTTATACCACCACCAGTGCAAAATTGTACCAGTCAGAACGAAGAGACCTGGTAATAGTAAACCAAGGCACAAAGATTGAGTAAATCGGGCATCCTTGACAGGATTGGTGTTCGAGTACGATTGCTTCTCAACCAAACCTTTATTTGAAGCTCTCTCCAAAATCGCTTCACCTACTTCTATAGGATCGGATTTGGTCAGATGGAGGTGGACTTGCAATATGCCGCTGCAAGTAGCATTCTTCTCCCAGGCCTCTTGGACGTGGTGGCGGAGAAAGCGTTTCCAAACATAGGTTGCAAGACCAACCTCGCGACAGTACCAATGTAGATGTATTTTACTAGGTCCACAGCGCTCATTCGATTCCAACAAAGCCTCTCCGTCTTCGAGAGACGAACCGCTATGATTACCGAGAGCAGCGTCCATTTGGATTCTCTGCTGTAACGAAGGCAGAAATTCCAAGAAAGGCACAATGCCAACTCCTCCAGCTACGAGCAAGATTTCGTCATGGGATTTCATTGCACAATTGATCCAATCAAATGAGCTCGCGTAATAAGAATCGACCTGTATCTTGCAAGGAAGGGGCGACGCAATAAGAGGTCTTGAAATGGAGTCATGAAGGTCTTCCATGTCTTCGTTGGATGATTCGAGTGCCACTTGGTTCGGAAAGAAAATCTTTGTCATATTCTCGGTGAAGGGTCCTTTGGGTCGAAGTAGAATGGAAAGTGTCGCCGATGATGAATCATCATCACCAGCTCTGAGCAGGTCGTGACGGGAGAAGATTGAAAATGGATGCGACAGAGGGGATACCAAAGGGCAGAACAATCTAGCAAAGCGGCTTTCGTGGCGACAATTGTCCTCTGGGTTTGCGGCAAATACTAGCTCGATCGACCCACCTTGAATCAGGTTAGCCTCAACCAGCGAGCTACTGTTTGAGTAGTCTCCATGTTTTGAATTTGACTGAAGCCCCCAATTTTCGATATATTGTGTAACGTAGACGGGGATATTGAACGATAGATAGTAGATGATGTTGGGGATCAAGACCAAGGCGCATGTTGGATAATGCCAAATGGCTGTGAACAACATGATCCAAGCAGAAGGGATGTGGACACTGTAAAAAAGAGCATAGGAATACCGACGAATCTGGGGCAGACTGGTGATTGCCAATAGCACATATGCTATGACAGAAACCATCCCAGTCAAGTTCACAAGTGCCAACCAACACTGATTGGCTTCTTCGTTTGTACCCTCGAAAGGGTCTTGGTAGCCCAAGAATGCGGTGAATGGGTTTTGAGTACCAAAGCATTTCCAAGATTCTGGAATCAGTAGAATCCGCAGCTGTTCGTACCACGGACGCACGCGTTGTGGATTAAGGACATCCATGAGATGGCGTAAATGAAGGAAGCCATGCAATGCGGAATTCCAGAAACCAGTCCATCCCGCTACACGATGAAAGGCCAAGGCTTGCACGGGAGTGACACGCAACCAGTCAAGAATGGGCGAGTGTTTTGTAACAGGGATTAAGAATAGCGCCAGTGACCAGCAAGCAGCGTATCCAGATGGGCTCATGAGGGACATGCAAATTCGTACGTACAGATTCCAACCAAAATGCTGGTCTTGATTGTTTGAGTGGAACACACCATGGCCACTAGCTCCATCGAGCATAATTAAAAACAGTGGCAATACAAAACATATGATAGTCCACTTTTTGACATTGATATCGCCTTTCGCGTTTCCTTTCTCCTCAGTACGCGTATATTTTGTAGTTGTATCCTTCGTGCTCGAACTAGGATTCCAAATCACAGAAGCTAGAGTCAACAACAGTAAGGGGAGGGCAAGCCCATACAGAAAAAGTCCATCTTTTTTCAAATGGATATTGTCGAAAGATCCTTCGCGTCCATGCTCATGGTCATGCCTATGCCCATGGTCATGATCGTCTTGTCCGTGCTGACTCGGATCATCTTTGGGAGGCTTAAAGTGACTTGAATTACCATCCGGAGGCTTGAAGTGACGAGGTTGATGAACAAAATGGCTAAACAAGTAGTAGTCAACTGTTACTACACCTAGTGTAAGCATTACCAATCCATAGCGTAACATGGACCATGTCCAGAATTGCTTATTACCAAACATATTGTTATTTTTTCTTTGATTTCATAAAAATTAAAATGAAAGCGGGAACTTGTGCGACGTTTTGATGGCATGGCTCATATGGTATCTAAAACTTGTGAGCTGAAGCAGAATTCTGTATGGAAGGCCTCCATCAAGGCTCTTCAAAAAATAACATCAATTAATTTTAGGCCCAAAACCTTCTGTTCTTTTCAGTTTCAGCTTTGGTATTGCAAATTAATCGAACGAGTCATTCGTTCTATCGATAATACTATCGTTTCAAAATGCAAGTCACACACGTCAGTAATATTTTGGATTTTCGATGTATGATACACGTAGCGCCCCGTATTCCTTCCCTACTATCCACTGCTTATTTTTGCTTTGTGCTTCGTGATAACTGATATCTTCCAGATCCAATAGAAAAAACCGTCCTATCGTCAGTTCAGCAGTGAGCATTTGTCAAAACACATTGTTTCGCATAATATTGCCTTGACCGGATATCATAACTTCTTGATAACTTGCTTCTCCAAAAAATGAAGACTGCTGCCATTCTCCTCGCCACTGTTTCCGGTGTCTCTGCCTTCACTCAAGCAGTTTCTCAAAACCGAGTTGCTACCGCATTGTCGGCCGAGCCGGTCCCTCTCGCCAATGGCGCCATGTCATTCAACCGTGTCTGCCGCGAATGGCGATGCAAATACGAAGGTGATAAGGCTACATCCGCAAGTTTGGAGGCCATCGCCAAGGTTGTTGACGAAAGCCTCCCTGAAATCAAGAAAGCCTCGAGCGAGATCACCGTTAACCGATTGGTATGCGGAGGGTGCCTTGATTTCAAGTTGATGATGACCGTTCCTCTCGAAGATTTCGGACCCTGGGAAGAAGCTGGATTCCCTCCTGAGAGTGACTTCCTCGCAAAGATTAAGGCTATCGAAGGAGTTTCCGTAGTTGAGACTCAAACCATCACCAACATGGAAATCTAAGAATCGGCAAGAAAATCATAACTGAAATAGCTTTTATGTAGTTGTCAGTTTTCAAGTAACGTAAACAGTTCGTGTAGTAGATTTAGAGTTATGCAAAATTTAAGCATATACCCTAAAACATTTACCGCAGTTTACTTGAAAAATAAAAAGAATTGGATGGCGCAACGCAGTACCATTATGTACAGGTGGCAGGAATATTATAAATTTGAACTCCGTGTTGGATCTAATGGCTACCTGACTGGATCAACCTCAACATCGATGTCCTCAGAAGGCCTACTTTTCTTCTTCGTGCGGGGGGCGTCATCCATCATGGATGATAGTTTCTCTATAGTGTCCTCACGCTGCATTTGTGCACTTCCGATGCCCTGACTGACTTTGTCAACAAGTACCTGCAACACTTCATTGTCGGAGCTTCTGCGGACTTCTACAGTATGATGACTAGAGGATCCATTCGCTTCAGCCACTAAATCAACAATGGCCTCATCTCCTTTCTTCAAGAATCCGCGGATGAGAGCATCAGAAACAGCATCTTCGAAAAATCGCTGTGCTGCACGCCTCATCGGACGAGCTCCAAATTGAGCCGCATTACTGCTCCCTTCTTCCATCACCTTTTCACATAACGAAGGAGTGGCAGAGATTTTTAAGTCTTGCTCTGCTTCTGCTCTTTTGATTGTTTTACTCAAAATCAAACCAGTAATGCTTGAGAGGTCAGTGCCGGACAAGGGGGAGAACACCACAATTTCATCCATTCGATTGAGTAATTCAGGTTTCATCGTAGCTTCCAACGATTCCTTCACAGTCTCCGAAAGTTGCGCATAAAGTGAGTCTCCTTGCTGCTGTTCACTATGCTGTCGTGACAGTGCGAGAATATTTTGGCTACCAACGTTCGATGTCATGATCAAGATTGTGTTCTTAAAGTTCACAGTGCGGCCTTTCCCGTCTGTCAACATGCCGTCCTCCAGAATCTGAAGTAAGATATTAAGGACGTCACCGTGTGCTTTTTCAAGCTCGTCAAGCAAAACTACAGAATGTGGTGCTCGTCGCACGGCCTCTGTCAATTGACCGCCTTCGTCATAGCCAATGTAGCCAGGTGGAGGGCCAGTCAATCTCGAAACAGAGTGCTTCTCCATGTACTCAGAACAATCAATTCGAATCATATCTTTTTCAGATCCATAGTATGTCTCAGCTAAGGTCTTGCACAATTCCGTCTTACCTGAACAACCAAACAATAAGCGGGAGCAGTATGTGTCAGCACGAGTTACATGATTTGACAGTCTATTTCACACAGGTGATTTGATCTTATACTTACCAGTTCCGGTTGGTCCGCAAAACATGAAGGAAGCAATGGGACGGTTTGGATCTCTCAAACCAGAGCGAGCTCTACGAACTGCACGTGAAACTGATTGGATTGCTTTTTGTTGTCCTTTGACTCGGAGAGTCATGTCTTCCTCTAGTTGAACCAATCGATTCATTTCGCTGGACTCGAGTTTCCCGAGCGGAATTTTGGCCCACTCACTGATAATTTCCATAACAGTTTGTTCATCCACCAATGGTACATTATTCTCGCCCTCCTCATTAGTCGCATAGCCTTCTTCCCTGTCTACATCATTTGACACCGAAAAGCTGGAAAGATGGGCTATGGCTCCGGCTTCGTCCATCAAATCGATTGCCTTGTCTGGCAAAAAACGGTCGGTAAGGTAACGCTCGGATAATTTGGCTGCAGCTACAAGACTGTCGGGTGAATATTTCACTTTGTGGTGCTTTTCATACGATCCGGCAATAGCACGAAGGATATCAACTGTTTCAGGAACAGTGGGTTCCTTGCACATGACAGGTTGGAGACGTCTTTCCAACGCAGCGTCCTTTTCGATGTATTTACGGTACTCGGAAATCGTCGTAGCTCCAATAAGTTGAAGCTGCGATCGGGCAAGAGCAGGTTTAAGAAGATTCGCAGCGTCCATTCCGCCCTCGGCCGCTCCTGCTCCGACCAAGTTATGAATCTTAAAATGAAATATAAAAAGCGATCGAAGGAATTTATCGTTTGTTGTGCAGTCATTTTCTTTCCAAGCAACCTTGTCTAACAAAGGAGTCGGTGACTCGAATTTTGTTTCACTGAACTTACCTCATCGATGAACAAGATTGTAGGAGGAGCCTTAGGATCGGATATCTCTTGCACGACAGCCTGGAGACGTTCCTCGAATTCCCCCCGATATTTAGTTCCAGCAACAAGATTGGCGAGCTCGAGAGACACCAACCGGGTTCCTTTCAAGCGTTGGGGGCATCTGTCGGAGACCAAAATCTGGGCAAGACCCTCGACAATTGAAGTCTTCCCTACTCCAGCCTCTCCGACCAAACACACATTGTTTTTTCGTCTGCGGACAAGCGTTCGAATGCAGGAGTCCATTTCTTTGTCCCGTCCCTGGACGACGTCCAACAAACCATCCTTTGCCTGAGCCGTAAGATCCACTCCGAGCTCGTCGAGAGTTTTTGTTCCGGCGGTACTGCCAACTCCTGTCACCAAGTCGCGTTCGTTTTCATCGGATTCAGCCAGGTGACCGAGCAACGAAACACACATGTCTACGGCGTCGATGTCCGGGTCGATCTTCGTCAACAAATAGTAGGCTCCGTTGGTAGAAGCATCCGTAACCGCTCTTGGTGGGTCCCCTTCTTTGTACTGGAGCATGGACAAGAGCAGATGATGTGTTTGGATTTTCTGAGATTCCATTGCGGTAGCGATGTTTCCTGCCTCCTTCAAGACTTTTTGAACGTCCCTTCCAAAGGCAAGGTCGTCGCTCGGATCAGGGGCCGTGAAAAATCCTCCCAGCCCTTGGGATTTTCCCTGGTCGGGATAGAGCTCTCCCAAGGCACTGACCGTTTTTCTCCATGTGACACCATACTGCTTCAGAGTTCGTTCCATCGCAGGTGTTTCGGGAAGGTCGACGACACCGGCCACTAAAAATGGAAGTTCCACCTGTTTCTGAGAAAACTTTTGCGCTTGTTTCTGTGATGTGACAATGGCACCGATGCAATCTTCCGTCATGCGGTCGAAAACAAATTGTCTCGTATCCAATCTACTGCTACCAACCGACGAAATCGTGTGCGGCTGGCCTGTCATGAAGGCTTCCGTCGCGAACATCGGAACGGAAACGAATGCCAGTGCCGCCAGATATAGCGCTGAAACGGTTCGACATAGCTGCATTTTTCGTAAACTTCTCGTGATGTCGGATCGAAGACTTCGTTGGGGGTACTTCTACTATATTCTATCCTTCCCGTAGGCTCTTCCTTTGGCTACGATTCGTTGAAAGATCGAAAAGGCTCCGTATCAATCTGTTTCTTCTGTGATTGTGCTTGTCGATGAGGAAATACGAGTTCCATTGCTGCACGAGTACTACGAAGTCGTACGTACGTTCAACGTTTCCATGAAGTACTCTTACTTCCCTCACGGTTCCCTTTCTTTCTCGATCGAGATCATTTTCAGCACGCTTCGGAGGAGTCACTTTTTTCAAAGCCACCTTGTCATCTTCGTTCAAAAGACGAGGTCTGAGTCATGACAGAAACGCACGCGTCGTTCGCGTGGGAGTGAAAAAAAAAAACATACGGGACTAAATGATCATTAATGATATGAAGATTTTCAAATCTTTCCGCAACAGTTCGCAAGGACGAATCGCAGGGACGAATCGCAGGGACGAATAGCAGGGACGAGTCGCGAGGACGAACCGATCTGATCTGTACGTACGTACGTATCTATCCGCATAGTCCTTCGTACGGTATATTCGTACTAGTGCGAGTGAGAAACAAAAAACGAACTGCTTGAAGATCATTTAAATTTAAAATTGCTGGCATGAAACCACTACATTACTCGTACTTTACTACGTGCAATACCAGACGGCAATTTAGGAAGATCCAGACAAAACAAAAGCATGTGATGCCATCTTTTCTCGTTGTAGTGGTGTTTGGTACAGAGCTTCGTACTTGTACTGTACTATTCAATCAAGATGAGCCCAATCGCTTCCATTCTGTTCTTTTGCATCATATACTGTGCATCAACAGTTGATGCCCGCTCGGTTGGCTCATTAGTGGCGCCGAAACCTTCCAGTTCAAAGCCAAGAATATTTCGTTCTTCCATCAATCGCTTCGTCGATAAATTGTTTCAAGAAACGGACGCCAACAACGATGGGCAAATCAGTTTCGAGGAGGCCTATATCGGATGCCTCATGTTGTATGTACAACTAAATCAATCCGCACCCATTCCTCCGCCAGACAGAAAAAAATTTCGCCGAATCTTTTCGCAAGCCGCGGCAGAGGGGAACAAGTGGAACAACAAGAAAAATGCACTAGATTTGGAGCAATACGAAAACATGCTCAAGAAATTAGTCGCAAGAGCGGTTCTGAGGTTGACTTCCCACAAAATTGTGACCATAGCTGGAGCTCCTCTATTGGCCGAAATGATCGTGCGCAGTCTGGCAAAGAGAAAGAAAGGTTTCGAAGAATTGCTGCGATCCATTATTCCACTTCAATTTCAAGATGCCACGATTCCAACACTCACTTCAAAGGCGTTTCATCGCGGTCTCTGGATGGTCATCCTAGTGACAACTCTCGGAAACATAGTTCTGGCCACTGTGACTCAATTGCTGGATATGCAGTTACCGAAACCAAAACGAAAATGATCCTCTCTCCTTTGAAGCCGTTCGTCAATCACATAACGGTTTAGTTACACCAAATGGTGGCACAACAAAGCTAAAGCCAACGCTAACAATAATATTCGAAAACTATATTTAACTATGAATGCGCAAGAGATTCGAATTTTCTACTGTATCTAAAAAAAATGGAATGGACGACAAAGTATTGAAAAAATAACTGTTGGCTTTGTTTATTGAAACCCGAGTCGATGCTAATGGTTGAAAAAAAAGCGTGAGGGTACCATGTTCTTTGTACTGAAAAGAATACAACTCTAGGAAATAGCAACACGACGACGCAGTCACTCGTGACCGCAAACACGACAGCATTCGTTTGATATCACTTACCATCATTTCTGCCTTAACAACTAGTGGCAAGGCCACTTGTTGAACCTTCAGCTTTGGATCCAAAGCACTGGCTAGGCCTTCCATGATTTCTACTGCTAGAGCTGCATTTACGAATGCGCCTTCCAGTTTCACACGATGGATGCAAGCCAAGGAGCAAATATCGGTGATGTAGTCACCGACATTTTCTATAAAGTTTTGGTCTCCATCCAGGATACATATTTGTTCAATGCCTTCGATAAAGAGTTCTCTCCCCTCCGGAGAAGCCTGCGACTCCGACTTCATGTCCACCATCGTTGACCCCGCAGTTCTGCCATCTTTACGCGTAAATGCACCCAACACTTTAACAATGTTTTCGTGTTGTTTTGGGCCCATTTCTAGGGCCAAGCCACAATCCAAAACCTGGTATTTCAAATCCGGGTACGTCCCCGAAACCAAAATATTTCCGGGATGAAGATCACCGTGAATAAAGTCGTGCACTTTTTGTATGGCACAAAATTCAAATGGTTAGCAACGAAGGTTCGGACGAATGAGATACGGATCATAACAGAAATTCAAACCTTTGGATTCGGTCGATCAATTGTATGGAAGATACACTTCATTTTACTACTTACAAAATATCATTTGCAACGTCATTCTCAAACCAATGCGGGCTAATAGCTCTTTTTCCTCGATCGGCCTGTTTCCCTTCACAAAATTTATGATGGGAGTACCTTCGCAAAAGGTTTCTACCAGAACCTTGCTGGTAGTCAATTCTTCCAATGGTCTTGGAAAAGCCACCTGTTCGTCGTTGGCAAAATTCTGGTTGAATCGATTCAAGTGAGAAGCCTCGATGCTCAGATCGAGTTGCGGTATCATGACGTCTCGAAATTGGTGGACCGTGTCGACTAAACTGAGAAATTGAAGGTTGAGACGTGGAAGGTCCTCCAAAAATTTTGCGATCTTGTTGAAAATGTAAAAATCAACGCAGACCTTGTTCCAAATTCCCGGGTGCTGGACTTTGATCGCAACCTTCGTGTCTTTGGGGTAACGCACCGAAGCTTCCTTGAGCCGTCCTTGGTACACCTGGGCAATGCAACCAGATCCTATCGGGGTCGAGTTGATCTCTAGTGCCTCCATTCCTTTTTCTCCAAATTGCTCCTTTAGTACTTTTTTTGTCTCTTCCCATGAGTGTCCCTCAGTATCATCTTGCAACTTGCTGAAGTGTTGACAAAACTCGGGACTGAACAAATCTTGTCGAGTGGAAGCCCACTGGGTCAATTTGATCCATGTCGGACCGGCCTTTTCAATTCCCCACAAGGCATAGTTCCAAGATATTTTATAAGCTTGGTCCGAAACTAGAGAAAGTGGAGCTAGAGCTATAAACGGGGAAGCCAATATCGCCAAATTGACCACTCGTTTGGTGGCCATCCAGAATCGCGCAAACTTTGTGCTTCCAACCGAAGCGAGCGCTGTTTCCTCCCAATTCTTTTGTTCCCAACCTTGCCATTCCAAAGGTTTTGATATTGTGTTTGCCTCGGCCGCAGAACGCATTACCTGGGCGGCGGCTGAGGCGGCGGCGAGCTCCAGGATGCGACGGGCATATATCCGAGAAAAATTCTTTCTCCAGCGTGCTATCAGTTTGTCGAGGTATTCGGCAGTCGCTGCATTTCTCTGGCTGGAATTTCTAGGCATCAGAAACGCCCATCTGCTGTAAATATTGTGGCTTCGCAGTGGCTTGAGTGCTTGCACTAAAAGCGGATGCGGATGCACGGCGCTGGCGGCCGAGAGAGCGGCAGCACCTCCGGTTGCCGGCGCCAGGGAGAAGAGTTTCGCGGCGAGGCTCATTATTGGTCAACCAGTGCTTGCGATTGAATGGAGATGCACCGCTACTCGGGATTTCGAATGCCCTTTCTATGGTCTCGAGATGGAATCTCGGATGGGTTGGCAGCGGAGCAGATTTTGGAGCGCTCAACGTTCCAAAAAACGTCGACCAGGTTTTAACAGTTTTCGTACGGTACCGGTAGGCTGCAATGATAGGCTGCTATGATAGGCCGCTATGGTATCGCACGGTACGTTCTGCATGAATCGTGTCGTTCGTCTATCATACATACGTACCGGTACGGGCACGTACGCACGTACCGGGTACCGGAAGCAAGGTTTTCCACATTTCACAAAAAATAATGGTCGGGATCGGGATTCATTCGAACTGGGACTGGAAAATAAATGAACGTCAATTCAAGAAAGAAAAAAGATTTCAAACAAACTGCATCGTTGCAACTTGTAACGAAGGTTACTGTAAACCAGCATTTCATCCAATGCAGGAAGGGAGCGAAACTAAGCGTCACGCAGCCCTTCTTAAACGAGTACGAGTACCTGCCGTACCGGTACCGATAGGGCAATAAGAAAACCAGAAAAAAAATAGGCACGTCACTATTTCGATCTTTCAAAGCCAATCTTTCCATCGACCAACAAATTAAAGATATTATCCAACACTAAAAATACTGCAGCAGATCTTGGGCAGACCGAGTGAAGATGTCGTCTTTTTTTTCTGCGCTAGGAAATCGGATTGTGCTGTGCCTCACCACAATTCCAACAACGTTCTTGGGCTGGCTCATAATAATCGCCATTACCGTTGCTACTGCAGCTACGGCAGCTGCTTTTGCATCGGTTTCGGGATTTGTAAATCCAAAAGAAGATTACCATCCTCCGTGGCAACAGCGGGATGATCAAGAGAACAGTGGTCCCCGCCGTTTCCGTTGCCATTGGAGTATCAAGCCTTTATCGGCGTTTATCTTTCCAGCGCTTGCCGAGGAAGTTTTTTGGAGGGGAATCTTGATTGGGCACCCATCAGACGATTACGGCACCTTTTCTTCTCTGCAATTCATACTTGCCGGAGTATTTCTGGTGCTTCACGTGTTGGTGCACCCGGTGGCCGGATATACGTGTTGGCCCCGTGGAAGAAAAACATTTGTGGATTGGAGATTCATGGTGGGAGCCATTTTCGTCCTAGGTGGGGCCACCGTGTCGTATCTCCTGAGCAGTGGGAGTGCCTATGCTGCAGCGCTAACGCACGGGCTATGTGTGGCGTTGTGGAGGGATTTTTTTGATGGCGAAGCCAAACTGATAGGAACGAGAACTCCAGTTGCAACTATATCGGAAAATTACACCGGCGAAAACATTATTTCGGAAGAATATTCATTATGATTGTAACGAATACGGAGTACACCTAGAAGGTAGAATGGATGGTAACGATAACCTTTCGTCCTTTTTAATCGGAGAGAGCGCCATGCTCAAAGCAATTCATTGCACCACTAAAATTCTCTAAAGCGTTCGTTTGTTTCACAATAGTCTCGTCAGTCATTAAATACGCACGTGTATTATTGAAATTACAGGAGGCATTATATTATCCCTGTCAGTATGAATTGTCATAATTCGTAGATTGTATTATCGTCTTCAGCACGTTTTCTTCTGCGAGAGAAGATTCGGTCCCAAATGAATGCAAGGAAGAATCCACCAACAAACCCACAGATATGAGATGCGTGGTCAACATTGTCTTCGTTGTCAAGCAAAGATATTTGATCCAGAGAGAGAGGCGTTTTGGCCAGTTCCATGCCAATTTTTCCCAGCCATATTGTTTTCGCTCGAAGGTCCATTTGGGCGGGGTGTTCCCTACAACACAACGAAGCGTAGACGTGGGCCCCAACGATGCCATACACGGCTGCACTCGACCCGATCCCTGGCCTGTATTGCCAAACTCGGAGTTCCACGGCTTGCTGGGCGTGAGAAAGAGCGAACCAGGTATCTCTCCAAGAGTCCGGCACCCATTGCCACGACCACCTTTCCCTATCCTGGGCCACCCTCCGATACCATTCCCGATCTAGCCAATTGCAAATTAGTCGACAGCCAAAGGCCGAAAGAAACTGAGAACCGAAATATAACCATAGGAAGACGAATGGACTGGTCCACGATAACGATAGTAATGAACCGCTATGCTCCTGACCTTGTGTCCGTCGAGTCGAGCATTCCTTTCTGCGAACGAACAGCTGTTTGCCGGTGACCCACAGCAGAAACATGTTTGAAAACAAATGCTCCCAGTCGCCGTGGGTAAATAGGGATGCAATCGTCGATGTCACGTTCGTATATTTATTAGAATGCCAGATAATTTTAGAATTCCGAGATGGAGTCCACCACGACACCAGCGAGTGATTACGAAAGCTGACCAAGTCTTTGAGCAGCGTAGGCTCGTGATGAAACCAGCAGTTCATGATTATTGTCAAGTATAACATCCCCATCGCGGAAACGCCACCGTCGTTGTTTCGCCGGCTTGCATCATACAGCTTAGGCACTCGTTCAGGTGACGACGATTCGGACAAAGGCGAGTCCATTTCTTGGCAGCTATTGAACTAATTGGACGGAAAGTGAGCACATGGCCGGATGCAACAGTGGGAACACCCGTCTCCGTACCGTACGGACCAACTCGGAATGCAAACGAAAAGTTTCTGTTGCACTCATCAATTATTTGTCCGCACGCGGAGAATTAACTCATTTCCTTGTTTTACAAATGATTTTACAAATGACATAAACTCATTTCCTTGCATATTTTTGTTTTTAGTGAATTGTAAACTCATTTCCTTGCATTCGGCCATTTTGTAAACTCATTTCCTTGCATTCTCAAAGTAATCAAAATTCTGCCGTTAAACAAGGGGAAAAACCAATGCTACCACCACAACGCAGTACACCAGCACAAAACAACAGACATAAATTCAACAAAGCAACAACCAAAAGACCAAGAACCACCATGGTTGGAGGACGCTGGTGATGCTACGGAACGCTGGGAATGCTTACAAGGTGTGGAGGGTGCTGAGGATGCGGAGGATGCTGATACGGAACGCTGATACAGAGAACGCTGATACTAGTATGGAACGCTGATACGGAGAACGCTCACTGATACGAAGGCTCGCTGATACGGAGGACGCTGATACAGAGACTCGCTGATACCGAGGACGCTGATACCGAGACTCGCTGAAACGGAGGACGCTCGCTGATATGAAGGATGCTGATACGGAGACTCACTGATACGGAACGCTGATACGGAGGATGCTGACACGAATGCTGTTACGAGGCACTGTTACGAAGGATGCTCTTATGGAGGATGCTCTTACGGAGAGACAACGAGTCACTGATACGGAGGACGCTGATACGAGTCGCTGATATGGAGGATGCTGATACGGATGCTGTGAACGAGTTGCTGATTACACMAGTATTGGTGCGGATCCATCATGAGCGACTCGATGAGTCGCTCATACGGAGGACGCTGATACGAGTTGCTGATACCATACGATACGATACAGAGGGGACATAAAACACTAGTAATACCAATACTATCTCTCCTATTTTCATTCTTTTATTTGTATTGCAAGGAGCACCATAGTTGTTGGCTCTTGTCTTGTATTTGAACACTGTATTCAGTAATTTCCTGTTGTTTAACGTCGAACTCCTAAGTGATGCATTGGTTTTTCCTGTTATTTAACGGCAGAATTTTGATTACTTAGAGAATGCAAGGAAATGAGTTTACAAAATGGCCGAATGCAAGGAAACGAGTTTACAATTCACTAAAAACGGAAATATGCAAGGAAATGAGTTTATGTCATTTGTAAAACAAGGAAATGGGTTAATGGTCCGTCCGCACGCCCGGGGAATGCTAAATTTCAAATTTCATCTAGAATGTACCGTTACGTAAAGTTCGTACGAGGAAAGAAGGCAAAAACTTGATTCCGGCTAAGTGGCTGGACTACAGTCTACAGTAATTGCTGATGTCACTAACCGTTGAAAATAGATCAGCAAACCAATCAAAAATGGAAAAAAGATGCAAAACAGCCAGGCCCTGTACAGTTCTACACGTAAATATTTATTTCTTATCCAGGGGTAGACCTGCTGATATTGATTCAAACTACATACCGGTACTCCCACGGACGCATAGCTATGGTAGTACCATAGCTATGTGGTAATACTATACCTATGCTAAATGGAATGTACCAATGCTGCCTTGAAGCGACATGTGGTTAAGTGAGTACTAATTAAACCATGGAACCACTTAGTTGAATAAGGCACGAATCTGCAATCGTTTATGAGTACCGTACAATAGATGCCGTTTTTAGTAATCAGCAGCAAGCTTTGCTTTTTTGTTTCTGCTAACAAATGACCAATGAGAATTAGAGAATCTGTAAGTTAGAAAGTAATTTCTTCCTCTACCCAGAGATGTGTCTGTTTCTTTTTTTTTGTCAAGGAATCTCTAGTACAGGCTACTTGATTACTCCGGGCACCAAAAATTAGAAAAAACTCGTCCATTTCTTGTTTCAACACTCAATTCTTGAACTGACTTCTTGTCTCACCCTCAAAAAAGAGCTATAACCATCATTATCCATCCAACACATCCACCAGAATTACTTCCTCATGATAACAAGTACAGGGGAATCTGGAAGTCTTGGATTGATCTACCAAGTGGTTTAAAATAAAACAACTATATTCAACCAGCAGGGAAAATTGTCTAAATACTACTACTAGTAGTAGTAGTAGTAGCAAAAAAGGAGCTCCAGTGCAAACAACAAAACAACAAAACAACAACAACAACAACAACAACAACAACAACAACAATTCCTGCTGGCGCTGTAGTTAATGTACATGTTGTTACCATGATGTGTAAGTGTACAAGGATAGCAGCTAGTACTAGAGCTCTGGTCATGGCCAAGGAGGAGGAGGAGGAGGAGGAGGAGGAGGAGGAGGAGGAGAAGTGCTCTGTCAGGAGAGCAATGAAATTTGCAAAATGTAGTACTACTGCAGGTGAGGAATGCAACAACAAGCCCTCCAGAAAAAAGTTATGAGATACAGGGACAACAAGCTGGAGCTGCAATCAGCTGCTGCAAAGTATTCCAGCCAACAGTTTACTATTTCAGGAGGAGATACACTTAACACAAAGGACCAATTTATTGCTTAGGTAATGAAGGAAAGACAAGGGCACATGAAAGGCCAGGAGGCACTGAAGAAGAAAGCCAAAGCAATATCTGAGTTCAATGCCAAGGCTACCAGTATGATTCAAGAGTATGCCTCTACAAAGGAAAAAATGTTAAGGAGGAAGATGATGCCAAGTCCCTTCCAGTTTCTGTACTCAAGGTATTGTGCAAGTGGAAGCAACAAAAGAAGATCCCTGCAAAGAAGTACTAACAAGTGCTTCATCTTTGGTAGCAGTTGCAAGTGAAGGATATTTCTTTCCCTTGAGGATTTCCTTGGAGTGAGAGATGACACGCAACTGCAAAGACTGAAGGGAGATGAGATTACAAGTACTAGGGACACAGAGTATGGAGGGGAGATAGCTACTAGAAAGCAGCAAGAGTCTCTTTCCTTTATTGCCACCAGTATCACTGAAGAGGAAAGATTTTTTTCAATATTCCTTTTGGGATCCTCTTGGAGGGTTCCAAGGCAGTATTTGGAGCAGTTGCCAAAGTTGCTGAAGTTTAGTAGTCTCCAGTAATTAGTAAGTACGCACATTGAGACCAACTAGTAAGTGTTTTATTGAAGAGAAATCTGTTCTCTGGAATGGATTTATATTTGGTAGTATTTGTACAGAAATTCAATTCAGCATACCTGAATTCTCATAAAAAAATGAGCAAAAAAGAGCTGGGAAACACTCCAAATTGGTAGAAATAGTTTTTTGTAAAATAAGACAGGTCAAAGTTGCAAAAGGGAAATGAGGGCTATTGTTTGAGCTGTGTGAAATTTGTACCAACTCCGGACCTATCTTGTCCTTGTTGGATTTCTTTCCTTGTACCCATTTTCCTACCATTGCAGCACATGCTATTGCACTTTCATTATTGGCTCCCCACCACTTCATAGTTACACCACCATGTGCGAAACCCCCAAATATTAATTTCCCTATTCTTGAAGACTGAAAGTGACTCAAACTTGTTGTAAATCTTGAGATTCTTTAATTTTCCACAACCAGCAGTGAATGGTTGATTGAATGTAATCTTCTTTGAGTTTTTAACTTTTTCTTCCATTTATAATTAGTACTCTTTTATTTTTACTGTTGGGAGTCTTTGCCTCTAGTACTACCAGTAGTAGGTTCTTCTGTCATTCCTCTTGTGATGCAGATCTAATACTACTAGGGCAATTGTGCTTCATTTTTTTCTGTAATATCATAGAGTGCCATTGAAGTACCCGGTGTATTACTCAATTGGCCAATCATTCTTTGGCTTTGGTGTCTTTTGCAGCCAGTGCCCTCAATTTGATTGTTGTTGCTGCTCTCGCCTGTTATCCATGCAACTGGACTCAATCAAAAGCCATCATATCATTTGCTTATGGTAAACAAAGAGGCTTTGACTTTCTATACGATTTCCAAAACGTTTGCGATATTGGATTTGGACAATCATATAAAATGTGGGGTGTTAGATGACTACAGAAGTAAATTTCCTGATTATCTTTATGCGTGCATTCAATCATCAATCATGATCAGTATCTTTTAACTTGTGACTTGTTAACCTGTGCCTGCAAATTATCCCAAATGGTGAAGAAGTTTATCTCTGTTGCTCAATAGGATTGGTTCAGTGCAAGGAATCTCATGACGTTTTCCAAATTGTAAAAACTAAAAACAATGACTTCTACCATTCTCTTCGCCTAAAGGCTTCTCAGAGCCATTTGTGCACCGATTGCGCCCATAACAATACCTAGTACTGCAGAGGCCAGCGAAACACTGACTCCGAATTTCTCATTACGGCCTTGCTGGGCAACAACAGCTCTGTACATCAGTGCTGGGTAAACATAGGTGAGGGCGTTACCAAGAGTTGCGCCACCGAATGCCAAGACAAAGCTAACGTCCTTCAAAGCACATGCAAAGAAGGTGATTACTCCAAGAAGTCCGAAAGTCATTAGATTCAAGATTCTTGGGGATCGTTTCTCAACCGGGATGTTTGCCAAATCCAAGAAGCCGTCCCGACAACCAGTGAACGCCAAAGGATAGCTAAAAACAAGTGACACGGCAACAGCAACGCGGCTGAATCCCATTAAAATATCACTACCGGCGTAGTTGTTCAATACGAGCCCATCGCAGGCTTTTCCAAACGTCAAAAATCCCACCATAGTAATGAATCCCATGAGGAAAATTGAAATCCCAAAACCGTACTTAACAACAGAGTTGAAACGGGGAATGGTGTTGTTCTTCAGCTCAAGGTAAAACTTAGGGGCGTTGAAATGTGCCTGTTGTAATGAAAAAGAGAGAAATAGTCATCAGAATTGAATGCACAAAATAAATTTCACACATCACTGGTTTCTTCTTCAATACGTACCATGTATGCAGTACTCAACATGCAAACCAGAATCAAGGCGTTAGGGGAAAACACACTTTCGGCTCCCAAATTTCCAAATTTTGGTCTCAAGCTACTTGCAACTTGCTCAATGAATTTGCCCTGTGTCTCATCTCCCATGGCATAGCTTCCGTCAAGGAATCGCAGAGTCATTGCCACAGCAGTGTAAGCCATTCCCATTACACCCAATAGAGAAAATGGGGCCAATGACTTGAGATTTTTCAACAAACAAAGAGGTAACAAAACGAATCCTGTTACGACCAACAGAGTAGGGTTGCGAGTGGTCTCCAGCAAACTTGAGAATGTGTCGGCGAGAACCATAGAAAACGCTAGACAAGCCAAAAAAGTCTTGAAGGTTACCGACCACGCTGGAATCCAGGAACTGCTTTCACCAACAGTCTTGCTCCATGCTTCTCGGTAACTTTGAGCTCCAGTGTAAGCGCATACCTTTCCAATCAAAGCAAAACCGTACCCGGACAAGATACCAATGATTGTGATTAGGATACCAGCAGGGATGAAAGCTGACGGAGCGCTTCCGAAAGCAGCGACACCAGCTGGAAGACTCAGGACTCCAACACCGACGATACCCTTTACCAAGTTGAAAACCTCGTTGGGGATTGATGCGCCTTCAGTAGTAGTTGCTGCCGGAGTAACGTCTGCTCCCCCGGCGTTAACTTTTCTTACAGCTACAACAGGCTTGCGAAGGGCTTCGACTAGAGCCATTTCTGGTCTTTGGTCTCCCGCGAGCGCTTGCCCTCCGACAGTGGCGAAGGCAGCGGCAACTCCAACACCAACAACGGCCTTGGCAATGCCACTCGGAGCATCGGATTTTTCTTTTGCCTCTCGCGCAGAAGTCACAACAGCTTTCGCGGTGCCTTTCTTTTTGTTAAAGGCTTCGTAACCAATAACAGACCAAGATTTCTTGGGGATAATTTCTGCGGATGTAGACGCAAACAAGCAGAAACTTGCTGCGAGAAGCATGAATTGTTTTGGACCGTTCATCATATTAGGATGGTGTGTTTTTCACTCCTTTGCTAGGATGTAGAAGCTTGTTGAGTATTTTCGAGCTTTGCTTGAAGCTTTGGTGAATAGAATGCAATTACTTTGCCACGACTTTGAAAGGTATCTCCGCAATAAGCTATGTTCAATCAGGGTTCCAGCGACTGCGATCCATTGGAATCGTTCAGATGCTGTCAATTGGTTGACGCTGTTGGAGATGTACGGTACAGTAAGATTTTTCATGGTAGATTCGTACGGATACCATAACTCCGGAGGTACGTTAGATGATGTCATTTTGAGTATTGTGGGCGTGTTGCATGCCAGACGTGTCGTGTATTTCTTTTTGTCACGAGTCGCAACTATCAATCATTTTTTTATCTGTTATGAATAGTACGTACCAATTACGTACTTACTCGTAGTTGTACGCACGGTTTTTCGTTTTTACCGTCGTAGTTCATTATGTTTGGATTTTACTATTACTAGTAGTATTACTACAAGTAGTTGTCAACAAATCTAGTAGTGCTGGAAATTCTCTGGTATTGCACGAAGAAGGACAATGATACTGTATTTCAATAGACGATGAATCATATACTGAGATGTTATATGTTGCCAGCAAGGATGTATTGTATGGCACCATCAACATCATGGAACGACAACAGGTAACACAGGATTTATCCAAATACATACTACAGCAGCACTATTAGTAGGGGGAAGATCCTAATATGGGTAGAAGTACATAAAAACATATCATTCACTTTGCTGTCGTCATCACTGCATTATGGAAAATTAGCATATTGATACAGTAGCTAATACCAATTATTTTTCCAAATCCAATAAAACCAATCGTATTAATCCAAGGCCAATTTAGTACCAAGGGCTCCCATGACGACTCCAAGAATAGCAATCATCTTTGCCAAAGTTGTCTCCTTGGTCTTCTCCCCCTTTTGGCTCTTGAGGAACATGATGGTTGGGTATATGAACACCAACGCTGTGCCGAAGGTAGCTCCACCAACGCTCGCTACCAATCCCAGGTCGGTGAGCTTGGATGCTACCAGTGTGGTTCCCGCTAGAACTCCTAGCGTGACCTTGTTGAAGAGTGAGTTTGTCCTCTTTTCCTTTGGTACCTTGAACAGATCCAGGAGTCCGTCTCGGGTTCCGTCAAACAGAAGCGGGTAGGATCCCGTGACACTTAGGCCGACAGCAACGCGGGAGAAGCTCATGAGAAGATCTTGTGTCGAGTAATTGTTCAAAATCAGTCCATTGGAGACAGAGCCAAACGTCAAGAATCCCAGAGCGGTAATGATCGAGTAGAGTGCCACCGACGACCCGAAACTCCAGGCAATCACCTGCGTAAATCGGCCCATCGTGTTGTTCTTCAATTCGGCGAGGTATTTCGGTGCGTTAAAGTGGGCAATGTAGGCATTGGAAAGCATCGACGTCAAGATCAAGGTTTTGGCGCTCAATGCGGCCGCCGCACCGGCGGTGCCGAAGGCGGGCGCCGCCAGAGCCGTGGCGACGAATTTCCCACCCGGTGCGTAGGCCCCACTGAAGTATCGGATCGCCATGGCGAGAGTTGTGTAGAGCATACCGATGATTCCAATAAGAGAGAAGGGAGCAAGGGAGGCAAGGTTCTTCATCAGGCACAGCGGCAAAAGGACGACTCCAGTGACTCCCAAGAGAGATTGCGTTCGGGTGGCGGCAATGCCGATACTGGCCAACAGGTTGCTGATGGTGTCCGCAAGAATCATGCTGTAGGACAAATTTCCAAACCAGCAATCGATGAAGCATGACATGGCAATGATCCAGGAGGTGGATTTCCCAACCGTCTCGTCCCATGCATCGGCATACGACATGGTGTTGGTTTTTTGACAAACTCGTCCGATCAACGCAAAGGTATAGGCCGAGATAACACCCATGACAGCAATGAGAGCAACGGCCGGAATCATTGCGGACGGAGCATTTCCAAAGGCGACAACACCTGTTGCATAGACCACAGTAGAAGAAAAAAGAAGAGAGAAAAGAACAAATTAAAAGTTTAGAAACCGACAGGGTGTTTGCTGATTTCCTTCGACAATAGATCGACTCGTTCCGAATTTTTGCGATGGATCCCCGTCCGTCCCTGTCCGATTGCCGTTCCTGTTTTGTTTGCAAGCACATTATCCAATGACTTGCCTGCCGGGAGACTCAAGACTCCTGCCCCGACGATGCTCTTAATGAGATTGAAGACCTCGTTCGGAATGGTGGCGGTCCCGCCGCCCTGCGATTTTTCGGCGGCGCCTCCCCGAGGCAGCTCGGCCGCTGCACTGGCGGCATCGTTTCCGAGGCGGGTGGTCGTCGAGGATACCAGAGAATTCTTGCTGCCGGGAATCAGCGACGAAGACGAGGGGATGGATTGGCGAGTGGGCGTCAGCAATGCATTGGTCGAGACGGCCAAAAGCAACACAGCCGTTACAGTGGAGGTACGTAAAAATCCCATCATGATGGAGCCGAAGGATCAAAAAAACAATAATATTGTTGATCGTTTGTGCCGGTAAGATGTTCTCTTGCAGGGTAGAATGCAATTCAATCCGATCGAGTGATTTTTTCTGACACGGAATCGTAAGATAGATGTTCCCGATAGTAGAGATTGGTTTGGTAGAACGTCGCGAAGAAAAGCTTTTTCCAGAAGTTCTCTCCAACGTCGTCGTCGAAGATCTAGGTCGGGAGGAAACCCAATCAATCAAAACCAAAAATTGCGCGATTTTCCTACGATGTGAAAACTTCGGTTCAAGTACAGAACGTACGTACTTTACTGTACGTTAAAGTACTGACGACAAAACGGTAGGTTGGCGAGCGAATGATATTGATGTAAAAATACGTACCACGTCCCACATGCACAAGCGTCCTCCGATGCTATTCTGATTGATCCCGGTGATTTCGAATTTGCACGAAATACTGTATCCCCCAAAAATGGATGGTCCTTAGATTTGCGTTGCATTTTTGTACTCGTACCGCACGTACGGTAGCGTTTCTGACGATCATCGGGCTCCCCTACCGTACGAGTACGTACTGTACATTACGTCCTACCGGTACGAGCTACGAGCATTGACACTTTTTGAGCCAAGAAAGATTTTTTCTGTTGTAGTTCAGTTTTGATACGAGTACGAGTACACCGTTCTTTTGACATCATCTACTTTACTCCAGTAGAAGAGCGCAAACGGAGACTTCGTAGAAGTAGCTCCCCTACGAGTACCATGAAGTAAAATAATAGAAGTACCGAATACCAGTACGAGCACCTGTTATCGTATGAAAGGCCAAGGAAGAAAGGTTTGAAAAGTTTCAAATTTTTCATCGGAGAACGCAGAATCATTCTTTGTATTCCGGTGTCTGGTGTCTCTTGCTACCCAGGAATCAGAGTTACTATTACGAATAGTATCAATCTAGAATCGTAATCTACGACAGTTTAGCTTCTTTTTATCGAACGGTTCAACTCAAACACTACCAATCCACAATGAACTTGAGATTCGCAGCGTTGTTGCTCTCCGCGAGCCTACCATTGGCATCGCCGTTTTCGACGCCTTCGGTGCCCTTGTCGTCGTCGCAGACCAATACTTTGCTTCGAAGCCCGCTGCCGTTTGCATCACCGACGGATATTTCGACGGTTTCCCCAAAAACCACTCTTGTTCGCAACAACATTGGCAACCACAACAAACCTCTTAACCGCCATGTCTTGCACATGGCTTCCGACGCCGCGGCCGTCAGCACCGAAGACGCCGGCAACGAAGGAGCATCGGTTACCCAGCTCATTTTCAACCTTGTCAAGGGGATCGTCGGCGCCGGAGTCCTCAGTCTCCCAGCGGGAATTGCCGCCTTTGCCAATGCGCCGGGAGGAGTCATCCCTGCCGTGTCCCTCATTGCCATTATTGGTTCCTTGTCGGCCTACGGATTCGCCTTGATCGGTCGGTGCTGTGCATACACCAACACCAAATCCTACCGGGATGCGTGGAGCGCCACTGTCTCCAAGTCGAGCAGCTGGTTGCCGGCTTCCGCCGTCACCTTCAAAACGGTGGCCGCCTGCCTGTCGTACTCTATGATTCTTGGAGACACCTTTGTGAGCCTCTTGTCGACCATCGGCATTGCTTCGACGAAGGTTCCCGTCACGCTCGGTCTGACCGGTGTGTGTCTGTTGCCACTGTGTTTGATGAAAAACCTCTCGTCTCTGGCGCCCTTCTCCCTGGTCGGGAGCCTGGGTATGATCTACACCGCCCTGGCCATGGTCGTTCGGTACCTCGGCAAGGCATACTCCGCAACCGGTGCCTTTGGAGCGGACAACGCTGTGGCCCTGCGGCCCAAGTTCGGAACCGTCGGTGCCCAGGGGGCCTTCACGCCGTCGGCGGCCATCTTTATCAGCATGCTGAGCACGGCGTTCATGGCGCATTTCAACGCACCAAAGGTAGGTGGTGTGGATCCTGTGGACCATTTGTCTGTCGACTTCTATTCTTGGTTCATTCCGTCATTGCCACCACTTTTTGCATCTCGGCTGGTAGTTCTTGTCGTTTGATCAGGCCTAGACGACGAACTATCTCTATGTTAGACCTGATTCTAACAATCTTTTTCTTTTCGCATTTTGAACACATACGAACAAATCTCTATCGTTGTCGTGTGCTTCCCTTATTGAACTTTCCTTTGCTTCAAAAATTACCTTACAAAAAGTTCTACAACGAATTGAAAGACAAGACTCTTCCTAAATACTACAAAGTGGTTTCGACGTCGTTTGCTATTTCTATTTCACTTTTCGCCTTGGTTGCCTCGGTTGGATTCCTCACCTTTGGCGCCAGTTCCAACGGATTGATTCTCAACAACTACTCTACGCGCGATAGCTTGATGAACCTGTCCAGAATTGCAGTCGCTGTGTCCCTCGTGTTCAGTTACCCCCTAGCGTTTGTGGGCGCACGAGATGGAGTCTCCGACTTGCTGAAGATCAAGGGAACCGAGAAGACGCAAAACGTTTTGACCGTGGCACTCTTGTCCGCGATCACGGGCATCGCCCTCGTACTTCCCGATGTTAGTTTTGTTATGGCTCTTGCAGGAGCTACGCTGGGAAATGGACTGATTTACATCTTTCCGGCGTTGATGTACAGAGGAGCCATCAAGAAAAAGCCCGATGCTACAAAGGGAGAAAAGCGAGAAGTGAAATTTGCTTTGGGATCAGCGGCGGCTGGAATTGTCATGGGAATCCTAGGTACCAAAATGGCCCTTGGAAGTTTGTAGACCTTTACTATCGTTCCCGTTCGAAAGACGACCTTCAAAGTAGACTAGACTGACTAACTGCCACCATCAATATAAATAAATATGACTATTATTTATTTATGAATCTGATTTTACTAGTGAAGTGTATTATCGGCATACCGGAACGCGAAAGGAACAAGTGCCTTTAGACAGTGAGCACAATTCTTGTGCTCCAACTTCTTCAATCTGACAGGAACTTGATTACAAGTAAAGAAGCCCACTACTACTGCTTTGTTACTACAAGAGATATGCCTCAGTGTTGAGATGATCAGATAGCTAAATAACTTAAGATGATCAATCTCTTCAAGTCCAAGAGACCCAATAAATGTCAGGATAACCACTACACCAGTAGAAACAGTCGTCATAACAGTTGCACTGAAGGGCTGATGATATGCTTACTAGTTTTGTGCCAAACACAAAGAAAGTACCAGTAGTACTATTAGTAGCTAGTAGCTTTAGTTACTGCTTTTGGTATATCCAGAATGTTCTATCAGTACCAAAGAAGACAACAATATCAGGTACCAGTAGTAAGAATTGTTCCTTGGTACTAAGACCTGGATTCTACTGCTGAACAGTGTCATCAAGAGATCTTGTTGTGAGTGATATGTGGTTGTGGTGGGCCATTTCTGGACCACTGGTCACTCTGTAGTCAATGGAGATACATTAGAAAATTAGCTGGTACCAAACTAGTACTAAGTAATCCAATGCACTGGGGTACTGAACATCATAGTACAAATACTTCAATTTCCTCTAGTAGTAATATGATTGTTGCACAAGCTAGAACTAGAGCAAAAGAAACAAGAAGGCTTGACCTGACATGCCATGACAGACCCATAGAGAGTGGTATTACTACTAGTACTAGTAGCTGCTAGCTCCTGCTTCTACTAGTAGTCCTAACAAGCAGCACCAATAAACTTTATGTCATCCAAGCCATGGTGATTCCAGGAGAAAACCAACACATGAGATGGTTCTGGGCATTGAGCAAGATTATGTGGAGCATTCATAGACAGAGGCATCAATTCCAGTGGAACTCTGGCAGAATTCTGAGAAAGTAGTGACTCCACATTGCCAGAATTTCATGCACCACAACATGATACTATCTTTCTTGAAGACCTTGTGGTGCAAGGGAGGAGCATATCTGTTGAGAGTTCATGAAGCTACTACTAGTACTACTACTGGTAGTTGTAGCTAGTACGACTGGCTGGTGGTGATCATCATAGTAGCTACTACTAGTAGTCATAGGTTACTAGGATTTACTACTAGTAAGAAGATTCAACAGCCACAACAGTTTTTGGCTTCAAGGCTTCAGCACAGAGTTTGCACTCATAATGCTAGTACTACCAGAATTACTAACCATCAAGAACTACTACTACCAGCAGTATTAGAGGTGATGTTATTTCCACCAGGAAAGAAACCAGAATTGTAGCACCAGCTTTCTTGCTGCCCAGCAGGACCAAGCTTTCTGTTGCAGCATGAATGTATAGCTATGCTTCACCATCTAAAAATACCCAGTGCAATGCATCAACACTCATAGTAGAGCAGACAGCAAGGTGACAATCAGATTGCATGGATCTTGAGTAGCAGTAACAGGAATAGGCCATTCTTGCCTCTCATTGTTTTCCTATATTGCTGTGAAAGAGTTTTGTCGTATCTGGAGAATAAGGAACAGGGTTGGGGATCTACTGACCACCACTAATTTGATGGAGATAGTCACCACTTCTTTAATTTGAATCCATCCTTCAGGACAGACATTGGCCAGAGTAATGGTATCTGGATGGATTGGGCAATGTTTTGATTTGATACTGGAAATTATCCAAATTATATTATGTGTTTCCTAGATTTGAAGTCCAGAAATGGTTTAGACAAAAACATCCTGGAAGGTGGAGGGGAGACAGCCAACACTGCTGTAGGATAATGGTATGTATCCTGTTGTCTGGTGATCCTTTAAAAAGAAATCAGAACAAACCCCTCGCACCTTCATCCATGAAGGGGCTCAGGATGAAACCAAGTTTTACACAGTTCCCACAGAAAGCATCATTTCAGAGGAGGTTGCTGTAGTAGCAAATAGAGAAGTTCAGGAAGATGTTCCTACTTGGTCAACAGCAACAAACTGGGCCTCACCACCACTAGTAGAGGGTCTTTGGCAGACTTCTGGTGGGTGGAGGGTGTGCTTCTTGACTGACATCTGCTGTAAAGCTTTTTCCTCCACTGAAGGGGAGGTTTTACAGCGACCATATTGAAAACTTAATGTGGAGCTGGTGGTGTAGCCACCATCAACTCCAACCCCAACCCCAACCCCAGCAAATTAACTTATTCCCTCATACTGTTGCCAACGTCATCCTGATGACAAATCATTTTGCATTCTGTTATGAAATAATTTCCCCTAAAAGTAGCTGGAACCAAACCATTCTTTTTGTCGTCTACCCATATCCAGCAGGGAAACAAATTTTTAAATGCAAACAATTCTTCTATGGCTCACAATACCTGTAGCGTTGCACAACTTACCCTTGTAGTTCTTCCTAGTACTAGCCTTAGTCTGTGTGTTATATCTGCATGCAGGTACTGTGCCACTGACTGTTCCTGTCCAAGGAGTATCAGACACTACTACTAAGCCCTCCCAAGCATCCTAATTATCTTTCACCTGGTTTTTAATTATGTTTTCCATGATGTTATCCAGAACTGGGAACTTTGTGTGCTTCGACATAATATTCCTTACATAGTTACATAGTGTTTATTTCAACACTGTCTCAAAATGGTGTAATCTTGTGTCAAGAGCAACCACCATCCTCTCCTCCTGTTCTTCATTCTGTCTGACTGCTCGCAAGAAGACTATGACTGTTGATAATCTGTAGACCAATTCAATATGAAGTTCCACAATGTGCAGGTCGAAATGGTGGTATATTATAACTGTTTAGCTCATGTTAGTCTATACTTCTAGTAGCTATTTGTAAAAAACCATGTGCACTCCCTCTATCTCTGTCCAAACCTTAGAATATCTAATGTACTTACCTGATAATGTTAATACTAACTAACCCAATCCTTCCAAAGTAGTAGTAATAGTTGTCAGGTAGCCAGATCAGTTTTATGTGAAACCCATATGACGATCTTTTTTTGTGTACAGTACATTTTCAAGGACATGACATTTGTGAAACCAACCCATACTCTTACTCGCCACTCCTTTTCCTTGGCCAACATGCAAACTATTTCTGTGTATCAATGATTTTCTGGTCATTGCTGCTCTTTTCCGTGGGTCACAGTAGGTTTTTTATGGCATTCAAAATCCAATACGCATATGATCCTATTTCCTCGAAGCAAAATCAGTTGTCAGGTGGCTACATTGCATATCCATCTTATTAACATACTTGTCCAACACCTCTATCCATATCCAAGAACAATGTGCACCTTCATTTGGAACAAATTTTGAACAAATTTTGTGTCATCTTCTTAGAATCCCTCCCTTAGGTTTTGCCCATTGCTGTTTTCTAATTTCAAACTAACCTATCTCATAAAACAACTCAAAAATGCACAGTACTAGACCAAACAAGAATGCCATTATCAGATATGGCTGTTTCCTCATTCTCTTACTACTATATTCTATCAGTAACTGAAGTAAACCCAATTGTGGGTGATGTTTGATATATGTAGGAGTTACCAAAACAAGCCTTTTCCATTGTTGAGTGACCAGATGGCCTGTGCTTGTTCTGTGCATTCCATTCCGAATTGTGTGTTTCAAGCCATGATTTTACAAATCTTCTTTCATCCAACTGAGACTGAATTTGTGTTCACCACACCTGTTGTCCTGCCTATTGTACACAAAAGATCACAAAGTAAACATTGTCAACCATGTCATCCACTGATCCAAAAACAGCAGTGGTACTTTCTTATGAGTCTGACCACTACCAGAAGAAAGCTGTAGAGGACTTGAAGCAAACAAGCCACTGTTGTCAATGAAGACTGCTACTCCAATCAATTTTGCACTGCAATTGTGCATGAAGTTCAGACACCTTTCATGGATCTAAAAAATTGTACCATATAGGCTTGGCAGACAAATGTACAATATAGCCGTACCTTTTGGGCCCTTATTTTTGCGTGTAATGACTACTTTGACTAAAACATACAAAATGAACATGCTCAGTATTAGTGTTGAATTTTAACCCCACATTCTTGCAACCAAATAGTTTCGTGTGCATGTGCTCAACCTACAATTTTGGCTTTGAACACATGCAAATTTTTAATCCCACAAGTCATTACACAGTAAAAAGATAGCCCAAAATCTACGCACAGTACAAAAAGCACGTAGGGCATTACTAAGAGAGGTTCAACTCACTTGAACAGCAATGACTTTTTCCCCAATGGACGCTTAAGTATGATAACAAGCACATGGTGGTTAAAAAGAGAATTCAAAGAGGAGCTTTCTGATGCTGTGGGGGAGAAGGCCGTCCAATGAGTATTGACCTATATACGTGTATGAATATGAAGAATTAAAAATGTACAATTCATTTGGCCGGAATTTCTCTGCCAACGCTATGATAATCATGGCATCAAGAATTGTAGTTACTAGTCCTCAGTCAGATGTTGCCTGGTGTTGTTGAATATTATCCTGATGAATGATACAAACACTCAAGCCACAGGAGTCTCCCACTTCAAAGTAGTTAAAAAAAACAAGTTTACTGTCTGTCTGAACAGATACAAATTTTCAAAGAGATGGGAGGAATTCCAAGCAAAGTTGAAAACCCTACTTGGTTCTTGTAGTAGACAGTACTAACAACTAATAGGCGACTGTTATTTGAGCTGCAACAACAACAACAACAACAACAACAACAACAACAACAACAACAACAACAAGATCAATGATATTACATAAGTACTAGTACTAGCCTAGTAGTAGTATTTAGTCTGGACACAGTCAGCACTTCTGTGTCTCTGGTAACTCACTCCAAGAAAGAGTAAAGAAGAACAAGAACAAGCACTAGTACTACTACCACTAGAAGTAGCTAGTAGTAAAATCAATGCTACATGTTACAGGTCAATTGAAAATACGTTTCACAGGGCACTCAGAATGTAAACTTAACATTCCAAATATTAGCACTTTAGTACTAGGCCTTCCTAGAAATGAGTACTGTGGTTTTTTTCTTGAATTTAATGCCACTTAACATTCTGAATCTTGGCAGGCAAGGCGTCCTTCTTCTTCCCATTTTTAGGAAACAAGACCAAAATTATTGGTTTTGGATGTTCTTGCTGGGGCACTACCAAATCAGGATCTGGTAGTAGGCCTACTACAGTGATATACAAACATTCCAAATGTACAGTCTGATATTGGGAACTTGAAGTTAGTACTAATATTCTTGGGAATTTTATTTCTAACATTCAAAATGCCCTGTGAAACATAACAACTTCAACTGGTGATCTGCAACACACCACCATTGCATGATAGTACTACTAGTAGTTCTACTAGTACTGGTAGTACTAGAAGGACGAACTGCCAGTGAGGAACTTGTTGGAAGAAAGGAGGAGGAAGAATAGTACTATTAGTAAATTTGTGGTGGTGTACTAGTAGAACCAATCCCAATTCAGGAGAACCAACATCGTCCTGTACAATTGATGATGCAAACTACTATAGTAGTAGTAGTAGTAGCAGTAGCAGCAGCAGCAGCAGTAGTAGTAGTAGCAGTAGTAGTAGCAGGGACGTTCCGAAACGACAAATTTCCACGTACGCTTATCTACCAGATCTCCAACTAGTTCGACAACGGTAGATTGTTGCTGCAACGCAACTGCAACGCCTCTTGTAAAAAAAAGGGTATATGGGAAACTATTTCATCAAAATTTGTTTTTTTGCTACCAGAATTGGACTACAAATCGACTAGAAAAGGAATAAATATCAGATTTAAATCTGATCAATATCTAATTTATGTCTAATTGATATCTGATTTATATATATATATATATATATATATATATATATATATATATATATATATATATATATTAGTCGTACTTGAATACAAATTATATTTATAAAGATACAATATATGGCACGTGCTGATAGGGTTACCGCATGTTGACTATTCTTGCTACCAAAGACCGACTATGTTTCTACCTTAAATCGACAATGTTTTTACCACAAGTCAACAATGTTTTTACCATAAATCTACCAGGAAAAAGCCAGAGAAATCTGACCTAAATGAAAATTGTTTCCCGGGACCCCCTCTTTTTTAATAGAGGCATTGCGTTGCAGCTGCAGCAACAGTCTACCGTAGTTGAACCAGTCGGAGATCTGGTAGCTAAGCGTACGTGGAAATTCACTGTTTCAGAACGTCCCAGTAGTAGTAGCAGTAGCAGTAGTACTTTACTACTAGTAGTAGTACAAGTATTGTGACGCTTTCTTATGTCAAGAGGAGAATTACTACTACTACTTCTAGTAGGCAGAGGGCTAGTCACTAGAGAAAAACCTGGTGGGACCTTGTCATAACAAGAAAATGCATCTAGTTTCGAAGATGTTCTCTCTCGACGAACAAACGGTCGTGAAACTAAATGGCAATAATAATTAAGAAGACAACTTCTTGCCGCCAGCTCATTCTGTCTAATCAACCTGACACCTTCGTATTAAAAGTAGTAGTACAGGAAAAACGAATGCGACCATGGACCATATTCTACTATGCAATTCCGCCAAGCCAATGCGAAATTTTGAAGTGTCAGCCTAATCGCTGGCAACTCGTTCGGAAGTTATTGGTACTGCTTCATGACAATAATGAGATGACTCGAAGTGTCGTGAATTCCATCGTGGTGGTTTGTTTGTTCCTCATTTGGGGTTCTTTCTTTGACCTTACCTTACCATATTTTTAATTTGGAGATCTCAATACGATTCCGATTCTATTGTACCCACAGGAACTAGCAGAAATTAAAGATAAATGTCAGCACGAATGATTTGTTTCTTATAATGTTGTAATTTCGGATGAAAAGTTGAAAATCTGAAATAACGTTAAGTAAATGAAATTGTTTCGACGGTTGAACAGCTATCAAGGCTATTATTACAATTCATTATATAGAAGAAATGCCTCATAATATTGCTTCTGTCAGCCTGACATTCTTTGGTGACACGCTAGCACATTGGGAATCGTTCTTCTTCAAAATTTAAAGATAACGTTAAGTAATCATTTTTGTAACGTGACAAGTGGATCACAGACCTCATCTTGCCCGAGGAAAGAGGGAGGTTCTCAATCACAACGTAGTGCCTTTTCGTCCAGTTTATGTCCACTTCTTGTCCGCAAATACGCAACTACGCAAATACACAAACGGTAGTCGTCGTCACTACTTTTGTTCAACAACATCGAATCACAACCCTAGAGAGTCACCAGGTGTTAGCATCATGATGGTTCCTCCGCATAACGCCCACGAAGATAGATCAGCTATTAGGCAGGCTCTAGCCATATTGGAGCAAGAGGGAGTGCGTCTCGATACCAGCGAACTTGGATACGAATTGGATTCGTTCGTGATGGATGATGAGATTCAATCTCGCCAGAGACAAAAACAGCGATCACGATCCAAATCACCATCACGAACTCGTAACCTAAAGAACAAAAAGTCTCTCCGGGAGCCGACACCACAATCAAGATACGTAGAGGATGGTTCTGTATCGTCCACGTCATACAGCAGTAGTTCTACATCATCTAGCTCTGCGAGCTCAAATAGAGAAGTCGGTGGAAAGGCAAAAAGAAGTCGAAGCAAAGTTCGAAGCAGAAGGACTTCACCAAAACGACCAGAATTGAGAGAAACACCCGAAGAAACGGGGGAAAAATCGGTTCGGTTCTCAAATTACGATCACACAATAAACGTTCCACATATCCTTGATTTTACTCCAGAAGAAATCCAAAGGTGTTGGATGGATGAAGAAGACTACCGTTCGATTCGAACGCGGTCCTTGGCTCTTATTGAGATGATGGAAGATGAGAAAAAGTATCCTATCTCTGCCGATTACATGATTGTAAACAAACATCTTGTCTGTGTAAGAGGTTTGGGAGAGAAGACAACACAATGCACTCGCGAGCTTGAACGAGTGCAGCGAAAGCTTTACAAGTCTGTTTTCCGGGTTCAAGAAGAACTCAGAGAAGAGGGCATAATCGACGACGAAGCAATCCGAAAAGCTAGTAGGAAATATTCCAAGAAATCCATCAAGACAGCTAGATTCGTAGGGATTTCTGACGAAGTGAATGTTGCTAGCAAGTTTGGCTAAGCGGTCACCACATATCGAATAACAATATCATAGAATAGACATAGACACTTAATTCATAGCAATTTGCCATTTTTTTAATCACGACCCCCATGGTATAAGTCAATCCCCTTGTGCTGATACGTGAAGAATGGATGTGATCTTTGTCTACAATAGCTTTTTGTTGCTCGTTAACCATATAGGTTCTCGTGGATGGTTACCTAAGGTGCTCTTAATCATCTTAAACTGACTGAAGACGAACTGGTATCCATATTTGTCTAGTATTCGCCATTTTGTTGTAATCTTGAATCTCTCGCTCTCTCCTCCCACTCAAACCACTCGACGCATGTATTTGCTGATATAGTTGCCTGTTTACGAAACAAAGAAGGAATACGAAGACGCGATTCGCATTGAAGTACGATACAAGCGGTGAAGAAATCTGATTTGCCACGAAGCTCAATAGAGTAAGTCGTAGATCATTTGTTGTATTTCACGCCTGCTTCTCGTTTCTTCCACCACACAAACGCAAATACTCGAGCTGGAAGACTAGAAAACGTCGGCGATGCTACATCCGTTGCAACGCAATCTCACCATCTTTAAGAGCAAATCTTACGGAAATCGAACATTGAAAAATCGCATTAAGAGGAGATGGACCTCCATTGTCATCACAACCATCGTGTCTCGAACAAGATCCAGCAGGCTGGTCGGCTGAAAGAAGAGGCAACAACACAAAGACCTACTAGTAGTCGTATGGCTTCTATGCTGTATAATATTTTTATTTCATTGTCAAACTAAGAGGAGTAATGTTGCTGCATTCCACAGTCTCACACTGCAATATGGTGATTGACTACTACCACTAGTAGTAGTAATAGTAATAGGAGTAGATGTCAGAAAACTCATTACTGCTGATTGGTGCTGGACACTGTCCTTGTTCCTTCTTGCTGATATCATTATTAACTACTAGTACTTCTTGTTCTCATTGTGATAATCTTGAATACACCAGCAGCAACAATGTATGGTGACCTCAAGAACAATTCAGATTCAAAGAACTCCTTCCTCCTTTGACATCCTCTGGTGAGAATTTGAATGCTGATCAGCAACAACAAGACAACACTTTTAATATTAAGAGCTTTCCTGGACCAAGATTTGTATTTACCAGCACATTGAGTCCTAGTGCTGGTTCCTGGTGGTGCTCTCCCTGGACTGGCAAAATCATGTTGGTGATATGACTAGTAGTAGTAAAAGTATACCTATTGGTGGTACTAATAGTAGGCTGTTGATTTTAAGTACTTCTTCTTATTAGTAGTACTACTAGTACAAGAACAACTAATTGTTGTTGCATACTACTACTACTACTACTTATGATGTTATACACTTTACACACAGCGAGGAATCACCACAATCAACAACTGGCAAAGGGAACAGGAGGGAAGAAAATGACAAGAAGGCACCAAGAGCATGAGCAAGAAGAGACTCTGACCCCTCTTCAACAAGAACAACATCACCATGCAACTTGAAATATTTTTCATCTTCTTGTTCTTGTCTTCTTCACCAGCACCAGGGTATCAAGAAGAAGACGACCTCATGCACAGGGACCATTCATATCTTCTTGCTTCTTCTTCCTCCAAGCAAATTGCAATCATTTAGGTCCCCATCAATCAGCAGCAGCAGCAGCAGCAGCAAGAACCTTAAAGAATTTGATGCTTTTACGCTTTCTGTGAAGAAAAGCTAAAAGCTGTAACATTGGAAGCGCAGTGCTGTGAGAGGCTCCAAAAACGCCGTTGTCGGGAAAACAAATCACAAATCATGCATCATGTCAAAAAAAAAGTCAAGTACGAAGTACAACATATTGTGCGTACTGTACTATTTCCGTCTGAGCGTGCTCAATGTACATGTACAGCTCGTAGTACTGTACGTACGAGCGCGAGTTCGTGCCTCTTTCTCATCTAACGGTAGAGTTCTTCCGTTCTATTCTGCACCTTTCTCTTTCAACTCTGTAATACCGTAATAAGGAAATCTCTGACGACCAGAAAGAAATCAGTAAAAACTCCAACACCACCGGCTGATCTCTCAGTCGCATTACAATATCCCTCAATCATCAATACTAGCCAGTACGAATTTGATCACACCCGCAGTTCCAATCACAGTCGACGTATGCGCAAACTCAAACTATATCAGCAACAACCAAAACAATATGGATGACAATCGCATCTCGGAGACCGAGGATAAGATCGTCGAAAACTTTCTTCGAGAGCAAGAAGAATCTTTTGGTTACGACGGGACTAATGGTACTAATGACGGCAACGACAGGAGCGAAGTTTTCAATTTCGAAGATGACACTGCCCTGACGGAGGACATTCGAAAAATGGCTCGTGCTCTTGCACCCCAGATGTCCGAACTCGAGGATGTCTTGAAGGATTTTTCGGAGGTGGAAACAACGGACGCACTCGATGTAATTATGCACAATAACAATGCAAGCGCAAACGACGTATCCAGATCCATGCTCGAAGCGGAAGACGATGATCTTGACGATGAAATGGAGCAACTGGCCATGAGCGAGCAGGCACTGCGAGAAGAACTGGAATTTGCGGCAGGCATATCACTGTTGGGAACACCAATGGGATTCTGCTTTAACGATGGCGATGACAACTACAATTCTAGTGAGTCCAACCTTCCTTCTCCCGTGAATCTCAACGACCAACTAGAAGAGCAGCAGCAGCAATCCAAGCCGGCACTTCCAGTGGCCGAAGAGTCTGAACCCGGCGCGCCACCTATGTACACTCTGCAGGATCATGCGGAATACTTGCACCTCAAAACGGAACGTCTGGGGAGGTGGTATTATTGCGACATGACATCTAAGCTGATGCCTTCGGCTTTGTCGGAGTCGCCATCGGTATCGGTAGGCGGAATGACAAAGGATCTCGTCAAAGATTATTGCTTGCCTATACCCTTTCGCAAGTTGAAGCGCTTGTACGGTGGTCTGGTATTCTATGACACCTGGGAAACAAAACGTCTGAAAGAATCACAACGTCCTCCATCCTCCACCAGTTCAACCCCGGCGGAAACTCCCAGTAAGACTCCTCTTAAAAATCGACTGTTGGGAACACCCGGGATTGTCACACCAAGTGGGTTTCCCACTACGGTACCGGTGACCCCGGCATCGACCACTACGGATGCGAGTGCCCAGACGCCGTTGCAAACGCCAGTCAAAACCCCGCTGAAAGAAATCAACAGCGCAAAGATTGCCAAGAAAAATGTTGTCGCCGAAGAACCACTCCCGGTCCGGACCATCTCCATTCGCATCCGCCCGGATGTCTTGTGCGGAGCCGTCATGGACGCCGCCCACCATGCCTTTGAGATCTTGTCGACAAATCACACATCCGACGTTATCAAGCGGCAGGGAGGGCACTTGCGAGGTTCGGTGTACATGGCTGACAAGCAGCTTGCGTACGTAGTGGATATGCAACTCTGTACGCAAAAGAACGATGGTTTGGAACGGCGGCTTCTCTTGCGATTTTATCACATCCACGACGATCCAGACGCCTTGCAGGAACTAGGACAAGTCTTGATGATGGAAAAGAAGAGGAAGGAAAGACAAAAACAAGAAACAGCTCCACCAATTCCTCAGGGCGACAGCGTTGCACCATCGACTTCCATTGCGACGACTTCATCGTCGTCGTCAGTGGCACAGGAGGAGAACAACACGATTGCCGCTCGGCACTTGAAACAGACCTGCAGTCTGATTCAACGAGTTATGGCTGCTGAAAAGCAAGAAGGGGGAATCAAGAAGATGAGTCCCGTACAGCAATCCAGGTGCGTTGTGTATTAATTGTGTATCGTGGAAAGTTTAAGTGCTCTTGGTTTTGCTGTCAACTGTGTGTTTCGGATTGATCTCGTAATGGCACAATGTGATTACTATCATCTATCTCTAATACTTTTTGTAAACGGAAACAATTTTCTGTGGAAAACTAATCTGCCATGCCTGACAATGAAGGTGGTTGGGAATAGAGGGTGGACATTATGATACAAAATCTGAAATGCAGTCTACAGTTGCCTCTCATTTGGAATCCAGTTTCAAGTCGTGTCCATCGGTTCGAGAAGAAAACAAAAAAGCCTCGGCTGTCATCCGTAGATTGACATTGCCTAGTCTTTCAAAGAGAGATTGGCCAATCGTTGAAATCGCCTGGAGCTTGACCAATCACATTGTTGAAGAGTTGGATACACGAGATTGTTCCTACAATACTTTGGCAACTCTGCCCTTCGGGCAGTTTCCTTCTCTACCAACCTTGGACGTACAATTTTGTTCGCAGTTAAGACGCCTAAGTCGTGAAAACATGATTACTCAGCTGTTGAAGTCGGCGAAGGATTTGGAAGTATATGCAAGTCGCGCTGAGTACAAATGTGCCGTATGCATTGCGCTTCTAGATCCCATGGTTGAGCGTTACGGAATTCCACCCTTATCTCTACCGAAGGCGAAGTCATTGGATGAATACCCACTTGATTACGAACCGCCTCAAACAATTTGCCCGCCATGGGGAGGATTAGTTTCGGAGGCCTTGAATAAAGTTGCTGCGAAAACTCCTACCGGAGATATAGACGTAAAAAGCGCCATGCTCTTGGTTTATAGAGCATTTGCAAGACAAGACGACGAAGAAAAAGGAGTTAGGCTAGGGAGGAAGAATGCGCAAGTAATGGAACGACTTGCCAATATGCAGTCGCACCAAAGATCTCTTGTGCAGAACATTAGAGATTCGCTTCACAGTAGCGAAAAATCTGAAAAATCGGCGTCAGGATTCTTGGACTATTGCGAAAAGGCTTTGAACAAAGGAGACGAAGGCTACCCAAGCACAATATCATTAGAGGTACCCTTGCTGAATCTCAAAATTTCACTTGGAGCATCTCAGTACGGGAGGTGTTACATCACATCAAAGAATATTCTGTTTGTTACCACTTATATACCACTTTTGGGGTCCAGCAGATCGATGGCATTTGACTTAAGTCTGATCAAATTCCAAGTGAAAGCAAATCCAACGTCTTCGTTGATGAATCCATTTCCGAATACTATGGAGGTCGTGCTGAAATCCAACAACAAGTCTGTCTTCAGTTTCCGACCGGCAATAGGACCGGCTCGTCTTCATACTTTCATCCACATTATTCAAGCTTTCGCCAGCGAAAAGAAGCCTTCAGAATATTCTCAAGTTGGAGAAGATTCTGACGAGGAACTTGCGAAGGAAGAGCCAGAATTATCAGTCTGACCTGGCACTGAAGCATGTAGTTAAATTATGAGGCATGCACATGTGCTAAATTTGTTTGATATCATGAGTGCTTGAAATGAAATGACTGCATGGTTTGGCGGAGGCAGTAATGAGACGAAGTGTACAATCCATTTTCGACAAGTTGAATATACGTGCAGTAGGACCAAGCGTAGGACCTTGTTGAAAACAGTCAGTCTCGTTTCATTCTAATCATCTAAATACAAACCGCAATTGCATTCAAATCATACCAACATACTAGTGCTTTCTGTTCACGCAATATTTTTCTGGATTTCTGAATTGGTTGCGGCCGCCGCCTTTGTTTTTTTTAAAAAAGGATGGCGGCGGCCAAAAAAACTTACTACGGTGCAAAAACTAGGTTATTGATAGTAGAATGACTTGTTGTCACAATAATGACTGAATGTTTAAGTTAAAAATGAAATAATGTATTTTGGTAAAGGTACTAATTTATTTGCAAAAATTAATATACCGGGGTTTGTACAAATCTACACTAAAAAAAATTATCTTTTTGTTTCCTCGGTAAGTCCAGGGCTGTAAGAATTCTTCAAAGTTACTGGCTACGCGCACTAAAGATAGTGAAGTGAAGTGTAGTGCACCGTAACCAATTTCTGAACTTGTGAAATCCGGACTCCAAACCGAGCAAGAGGACAATAATGGGTCATTCCCGTTATTCTAGATCTCTAAATTATTGGTCCGTCCGTCCATCGGAATTTAGAGATTTCTAGTCTAGATTTAGCACATTTAGAACCGGTCGAAGCAACCGGTTCTAAATACTCTAGATTTAGAGTGGAATCCACGAACCAAAATTTCGAGTCCGTTGTAAGACTCAACAGAAAGGCCCGCCAAAATTAAGACTTCCGTTGTTCTAAACAACCTCACTAAAAGAGGAGGACCGATAGGCGCCTCAATTTGACAATGGCGCTAAGGCGCCCAGTTGACCATAAACAAGAATGCCAATGGTGTCCCAACAATCAGTCTTTATAGTCTCTACATTCTATTACCTCTCTTTGTTGCATGAAAGAGAGCAAGAGGAGGCGGACGTGGACCTCAAAGAGGGAGCTCATTGTCCAATCCCCCCTGTCATTTTCCTTAAGACAATGGAGCCAAACGCCAACCCCCCCATCCCCAATGGCCCCAATGGCCCCAACGGCCCCAACGGCCGGAGAACTGGTACTGTTAACTACTTGGATGAAGAGCTAGATAGCCTCATGGAGTTGATAGTGGAGGTGCTACCAATTGATTCAGAACAGTGGAATACAGTTGTAGCCAAGCATGCTACCATGTGGCCCTTTGACAGGAGCAAGAAATMCATCAGGAACAAGTATAGTGCCATCAAAAGAATGAAGAGCTCAACTGGCAACCCCAACATGCCTAGGTACGTGAAGCTTGCCAGGCGTGCCCATTTCTTGATTGGAAAGAAGGCAAACATTGGTACTGGGGAGGAGGACTTTGACATGAAGACAGGCTTCCCTGTTGTTGATGCTGATGGGGCTTTCAAGATAGGGGGGTTGGAGACTATCCCCTCCGCTGAAGTGCAGCAAGGAAGAGCACCCATTCTCTGCCTTGGAGACGAGTCTTCTGTTGACTCTCCCATCGTGAAGCCCTCTAAAGTACAGTCCTCTACTACTCCAAATAGTAAGAGGCCTTACTCGAAAGCTCCCGACACTACTATATTCAATGAGTATTTGATTAGCCAACAAGCAAGGGACAAAGAAAATCATGAGATGGCTTTAGAGCAGTCCAAGATTGCAAAGGAGGCAAGCCAAATCGCTAAGGAGACCAATCTGATGTGGAAGAATGCTCAATGATTTGCTTCCAGCAATGGCAAAGCACTCAACAGCTCCAGCCGGTTCTTCAGGACAGAACAAACAACAACGACAGAACAAACAACAACGACGAAACAAACCACGACGCTACGTCTTACCAGTCCGCCGACAAACGCCCCCGTAAGGAGGCTAAGGAGGCCACCACAGGAGGAGAAGAAGAAGAATCCCATGGTGAAAACAACTAAAAAGGCAACAACATTGGTTAGTTTGCTTAAGCACTAATTGAAATGAACTGTTCTACATTGAATGTACTCAATTTAGTGAGGCTAGTATCGACTGTAGTATCCACAGTATGCAGTATGCAAGCAGTGTTCCTGGCAGTATTCCTATCCGTCGAAGTATGCCGTAGTAGGGATTCTACTTATTCCTGTTTGTATGGGTTTTTGTGCATACCAATGCGGGATTAGAATAGGATTCTGCTAAATAACACACGTGGGAATTCCCACAAAACCAGCGGATTCCCAGCTTCCTCGGCATGCACATATTTCATATCATACTCTCATTTTCATTGTAGTATAAAAAGGACCTGATATTCATTGCAGGATATATTGAAATCTTCAGCAGCATTGCTCTGTTTCAACGTGCGTTGGACAACGTTCACACAAAAACCGATCCTTCCACAGTACTGGATCAACAGCTGTTTCACTCAATCTACAGTAACACGGCTACACGCTTGAAGTAAGCAGCAAACACTCATACTGTAGGAAAAGCTTGATAATACAGGAAAGAATTCAACGATGGTTAAGGAAACTAACCATTGGATAGGATTGACCATGGTGAGGATGGTGAGGACGGTAAGTATGGTAAGCGCCGAGTCGTTCGTTGCACGTACTCTGTTGATCGATTAGTTCTGACGCTTGTTTATTCCCATTATCGATGCTTGTTTATTTTGCTTGTTTATTCCTGTTGACGATGCTTGTTTATTTCTGCTAATTACATTCAATCTAATTACATTTAATCTTTAACTGTTAACCTTTAACTGACCATGGGAATCACCCGAACACGTTGTTTCCATGGGGGGATATATCGCGTCCTACGTAGAAGAAACCCCTTGCAAGATCAATCTTCTTGTAGGGTTCTTCCGGATCAGTTGCTGCTGGCGTCCTCATGAATGTCGATAGGATCTGGTTGTGTCCTACAGTACT